CAAACGTTTGGGTCCGAGAGGGTAAGGCTTGCCAGGAACAGGTCTGCTTCTGCAGAACTGGGCCACAACGTCTGTTCAGCTTCTAACCTAGCTAACCATTTACAGAGTACTGAACTCTATTCTGCCCTGCAAGAGCAGCCCAATCTGACCGCACAACGGCCAGCTGGAAGGAAAAAGAAGGTGCAGGCTCGGGGGGATGGTCCCACTGAGCATGCTCCTGATACAATATCGCAAATCTGGCTCCGTTACCGTCAATGTATACTATTGAATGGTCCCTGTGCTGAGCGGTAGGTCAGTAGCCCTGTTCCTCATGGAGCTGTGCGCGCAGACAGGTTGGGTCCGGGAGGGTCCGAGAGGGTAAGGCTTGCCAGGAGCAGGTCTGCCTCTGCAACACTGGGCCACAACGTCCGTTCAGCTTCTAACCTAGGTAACCATTTAGAGCGTGCTGTACTCTATTCTGCCCTGCAAGGGCAGCCCAATCTGACCGCACAACGGCCAGCTGGAAGGAAAAAGAAGGTGCAGGCTCGGGGGGATGGTCCCACTGAGCATGCTACTGGTGCAATATCGCAAATCTGGCTCCATTACCGTCAATGTATACTATCCAATGGTCCCTGTGCTGAGCGGTAGGCTGGAAGACCTTTGCCTCATGGATCTGCGCATGCAAACGGTTTGGGTCCGAGAGGGTAAGGCTTGCCAGGAACAGTTCTGCTTCTGCAGAACTGGGCCACAACGTCTGTTCAGCTTCTAACCTAGCTAACCATTTACAAAGTACTGAACTCTATTCTGCCCTGCAAGGGCAGCCCAATCTGACCGCACCGCGGCCAGCTGGAAGGAAAAAGAAGGTGCAGGCTCGGGGGGATGGTCCCACTGAGCATGCTACTGGTGCAATATCGCAAATCTGGCTCCATTACTGTCAATGTATACTATCCAATGGTCCCTGTGCTGAGCGGTAGGCTGGAAGACCTTTGCCTCATGGATCTGCGCATGCAAACGGTTTGGGTCCGAGAGGGTAAGGCTTGCCAGGAACAGGTCTGCCTCTGCAACACTGGGCCACAACGTCCGTTCAGCTTCTAACCTAGCTAACCATTTAAAGCGTGCTGTACTCTATTCTGCCCTGCAAGGGCAGCCCAATCTGACCGCACAACGGCCAGCTGGAAGGAAAAAGAAGGTGCAGGCTTGGGGGGATGGTCCCACTGAGCATGCTACTGGTGCAATATCGCAAATCTGGCTCCATTACCGTCAATGTATACTATCTAATGGTCCCTGTGCTGAGCGGTAGGCTGGAAGACCTTTGCCTCATGGATCTGCGCATGCAAACGGTTTGGGTCCGAGAGGGTAAGGCCCGCCAGGAACAGGTCTGCTTCTGCAGAACTGGGCCACAACGTCTGTTCAGCTTCTAACCTAGCTAACCATTTACAGAGTACTGAACTCTATCCTGCCCTGCAAGGGCAGCCCAATCTGACCGCACCGCGGCCAGCTGGAAGGAAAAAGAAGGTGCAGGCTCAGGGGGATGGTTACACTGAGGATGCTACTGATGCACTGGCCCAAATCTGGCTCCATTACTGTCAAGGTATACTATTGTATGGTCCCTGTGCTGAGCGGTAGGCTGGCAGACCTGTGCCTCATGGAGCTGCGCGTGCAAACGTTTGGGTCCGAGAGGGTAAGGCTTGCCAGGAACAGGTCTGCTTCTGCAGAACTGGGCCACAACGTCTGTTCAGCTTCTAACCTAGCTAACCATTTACAGAGTACTGAACTCTATTCTGCCCTGCAAGGGCAGCCCAATCTGACCGCACAACGGCCAGCTGGAAGGAAAAAGAAGGTGCAGGTTCGGGGGGATGGTCCCACTGAGCATGCTACCGGTGCAATATCGCGAATCTGGCTCCATTACCGTCAATGTATACTATCTAATGGTCCCTGTGCTGAGCGGTAGGCTGGGAGACCTGTGCCTCATGGAGCTGCGCGTGCAAACGTTTGGGTCCGAGAGGGTAAGGCCCGCCAGGAACAGGTCTGCCTCTGCAGAACTGGGCCACAACGTCCGTTCAGCTTCTAACCTAGCTAACCATTTAAAGCGTGCTGTGCTCTATTCTGCCCTGCAAGGGCAGCCCAATCTGACCGCACAACGGCCAGCTGGAAGGAAAAAGAAGGTGCAGGCTCAGGGGGATGGTTACACTGAGGATGCTACTGATGCACTAGCCCAAATCTGGCTCCATTACTGTCAAGGTATACTATTGTATGGTCCCTGTGCTGAGCGGTAGGCTGGCAGACCTGTGCCTCACGGAGCTGCGCGTGCAAACGTTTGGGTCCGAGAGGGTAAGGCTTGCCAGGAACAGGTCTGCTTCTGCAGAACTGGGCCACAACGTCTGTTCAGCTTCTAACCTAGCTAACCATTTACAGAGTACTGAACTCTATTCTGCCCTGCAAGGGCAGCCCAATCTGACCGCACAACGGCCAGCTGGAAGGAAAAAGAAGGTGCAGGCTCGGGGGGATGGTCCCACTGAGCATGCTACTGGTGCAATATCGCAAATCTGGCTCCATTACCGTCAATGTATACTATCCAATGGTCCCTGTGCTGAGCGGTAGGCTGGGAGACCTGTGCCTCATGGAGCTGCGCGTGCAAACGTTTGGGTCCGAGAGGGTAAGGCCCGCCAGGAACAGGTCTGCCTCTGCAGAACTGGGCCACAACGTCCGTTCAGCTTCTAACCTAGCTAACCATTTAAAGCGTGCTGTGCTCTATTCTGCCCTGCAAGGGCAGCCCAATCTGACCGCACAACGGCCAGCTGGAAGGAAAAAGAAGGTGCAGGCTCAGGGGGATGGTTACACTGAGGATGCTACTGATGCACTAGCCCAAATCTGGCTCCATTACTGTCAAGGTATACTATTGTATGGTCCCTGTGCTGAGCGGTAGGCTGGCAGACCTGTGCCTCACGGAGCTGCGCGTGCAAACGTTTGGGTCCGAGAGGGTAAGGCTTGCCAGGAACAGGTCTGCTTCTGCAGAACTGGGCCACAACGTCTGTTCAGCTTCTAACCTAGCTAACCATTTACAGAGTACTGAACTCTATTCTGCCCTGCAAGGGCAGCCCAATCTGACCGCACAACGGCCAGCTGGAAGGAAAAAGAAGGTGCAGGCTCGGGGGGATGGTCCCACTGAGCATGCTCCTGATACAATATCGCAAACCTGGCTCCATTACCGTCAATTTATACTATTGAATGGTCCCTGTGCCAAGCGGTAGGTCAGTAGCCCTGTTCCTCATGGAGCTGCGCGCGCAGACAGGTTGGGTCCGAGAGGGTCCGAGAGGGTAAGGCTTGCCAGGAACAGGTCTGCCTCTGCAGAACTAGGCCTCAACGTCCGTTCACCTTCTAGCCTAGCTAACCATTTAAAGCGTACTGTACTCTATCCTGCCCTGCAAGGGCAGCCCAATCTGACCGCACCACGGCCAGCTGGCAGGAAAAAGAAGGTGCAGGCTCGGAGGGATGGTCCCACTGAGCATGCTCCTGATACAATATCGCAAACCTGGCTCAATTACCGTCAATGTTTACTATCCAATGGTCCCTGTGCCAAGCGGTAGGTCAGTAGCCCTGTTCCTCATGGAGCTGTGCGCGCAGACGGGTTGGGTCCGAGTGGGGCTGAGAGGCTTGGTCTGGCTGAGGATGCTATCAATGCACTGGCGCAAATCTGGCTCCATTACCGTCAACGTAAACTATTGAATGGTCCCTGTGCCAAGCGGTAGGTCAGTAGCCCTGTTCCTCATGGAGCTGTGCGCGCAGACAGGTTGGGTCCGAGAGGGTAAGGCTTGCCAGGAACAGGTCTGCCTCTGCAGAACTGGGCCTCAACGTCCGTTCAGCTTCTAACCAAGCTAACCATTTAAAGAGTACTGAATTCTATTTCTGCCCTGCAAGGGCAGCCCAATCTGACCGCACCACGGCCAGCTGGAAGGAAAAAGAAGGTGCAGGCTCGGGGGGATGGTCCCACTGAGCATGCTCCTGATACAATGTCGCAAACCTGGCTCCATTACCGTCAATGTATACTATTGAATGGTCCCTGTGCTGAGCGGTAGGCTGGGAGACCTCTGCCTCATGGATCTGCGCGTGCAGACGGTTTGGGTCCGAGAGGGTAAGGCTTGCCAGGAACAGGTCTGGCCCTGCAGAACTGGGCCACAACGTCCGTTCAGCTTCTAACCTAGCTAACCATTTAAAGCGTCCCGTACTCTATTCTGCCCTGCAAGGGCAGCCCAATCTGACTGCACCACGGCCAGCTGGAAGGAAAAAGAAGGTGCAGGCTCGGGGGGATGGTCCCACTGAGCATGCTACTGGTGCAACATCGCAAATCTGGCTCCATTACCGTCAACATATACCATTAAATGGTCCCTGTGCCAAGCGGTAGGTCAGTAGCCCTGTTCCTCATGGATCTGTGCGCGCAGACGGGTTGGGTCCGAGTGGGGCCAAGAGGCTTGGTCTGGCTGAGGATGCTACGGATGCACTGGCCCAAATCTGGCTCCATTACCATCAAGGTATACTATTGTATGGTCCCTGTGCCAAGCAGTTGGCTGGGGAGACATCTGCCTCAGGGAGCTGTGCGCGCAGACAGGTTGGGTCCGAGAGGGTAAGGCTTGCCAGGAACAGGTCTGCCTCTGCAGAACTGGGCCACAATGTCCGTTCAGCTTCTAGCCTAGCTAACCATTTACAGCGTACTGGACTCTATTCTGCCCTGCAAGGGCAGCCCAATCTGACCGCACAACGGCCAGCTGGAAGGAAAAAGAAGGTGCAGGCTCGGGGGGATGGTCCCACTGAGCATGCTACCGGTGCAATATCGCAAATCTGGCTCCATTACCGTCAATGTATACCATCAAATGGTCCCTCTGCCAAGCAGTAGGTCAGTAGCCCTGTTCCTCATGGAGCTGTGCGCGCAGACAGGTTGGGTCCGAGAGGGTAAGGCTTGCCAGGAACAGGTCTGCCTCTGCAGAACTGGGCCTCAACGTCCGTTCAGCTTCTAACCTAGCTAACCATTTAAAGAGTACTGAATTCTATTTCTGCCCTGCAAGGGCAGCCCAATCTGACCGCACCACGGCCAGCTGGAAGGAAAAAGAAGGTGCAGGCTTGGGGGGATGGTTCCACTGAGGATGCTACTGATGCACTCCCCCAAATCTGGCTCCTTCACTGTCAAGGTATACTAGGTATGGTCCCTGTGCTGAGCGGTAGGCTGGGAGACCTGTGGGTCGCGGTAGGCGTACAGGGTAGTAAAGGAAAGTGTGTTGAGTCGATAGAAAGAAGAACGGTTGAAAACGAGGTCAAATGGGCGAGTTGTGGCGGTTCCCCAAGCCGACACCCGAAAGGGCGCCAACGAGGAGGAGGTCAACCTCTTCACCTTGCCCAGCTGCACCGGCGTTGCGCTGCGGCAGCCGCGTGCGGGTCGACTGGCCCAGGGTCGACGCGCAGGCGGGCGGCAAGCGGCAAACGCGCGGGCGAGAGGGGAGGTCCGCCGCCGAGATGGCGGCGAGGAAGAAGCTGAGGACGGACCTGAGGGTGTACGACATTGCTCTGCTGCGGCCGCCAAGGGTATGGCTTGCCCAGGGCCGCGCTGCGACGGCAGGCAGCGAGTGGATGCGCACGCCCGTGAGGAAGGCCCGTCCAGGTACCTACCGCCGGGAAGAGGGGGGGGAGGTGGTCGAGTTGATGTCGAGGTTGGCGGAAAGGTGTACAGGGATGTAGAGGAGGGTATAACGAGTTGAAAGAAAGAAGAATGAAAGAAAAAGACCGAGAAATGACGGAGTTGTCGCGAGGTTGGCGGATGAGGTTTGGCGAGGAGGAGGAGGAGGAGGGCAGCGGATAGAGAGAAACGGTCGGGCGCACGAGGAATTCCCTCCCATGTCCTCCCACACGTCGACCGAGTCCCTCAGGTCCACCTAGACGCCCTGCTTGACCGTGCCCGCCGAGTCCTTGACCGCCTCGTGCAGCCGAGGGAACCGCCCGGTGTCGTTGACGAACTTGAGGACGGGGCGGGCAAGGGCGAGGTCGTTGAGGAGGGTGGCGAGGGGTGGCATGGCGTCCTTGCCGGTCGCACGCACGAGCGCAGCACGAGGCGCGGCGTAGAGGGGGCAGGCGAGGAGGAAGTGGGCCCGAGTCTCCTCCTCGCCGCACTCGCACAGGCCGGTCGGGTGGCGCTGGATGCGGTGAAGGTGCGCCGCGAGGCCGGTAAAGTCGAGCCGCAGCCTGGCGAGCAGCGTGCTCTGCCGGCGCGAGAGCGTGGCGTGGTACCGGGCGAAGGAGGCGCCAGGCGCGACCTTGCCGGTGACGCTGCGAAGTCCCGCGCCGGTGGGCGCCGTCGCCCAACTCGCCGCCCACGCCGCCTGCTGCGCCTGGTGGAAGGCCTGCTGGACCGCCGCAATGCTCTTGGGCTCGCTGCGGAGGTCCTCGAGGCCGTCAGGAGGGTTGACGAGGGCGGGGAGGCGAGGTCGAGGGGGCTGGTTCGACTCGGCCTGGAGGCTCGTCTCCCTCTCTCCCCCGTAGCACTCGTCGTGCTCGTCGTCTGACGGCTCGACTGAGCCCCCGCGCGGCATCACCATGCTGTGCCGCCGCGACTTGCGGCCCTGCTGCCGCCCCTCGCCCACACCGCCCTCGACCTCGACCACCTCGGCCCCGACCTTGGCCTGGGCGTCAGCCCGCTCGTTGCCCTCGACCTCGGCGTGGCCAGGCACCCAAGAGACGACAACGGTCATCATCGGGTGCGTCTCCTTCAGCTCACGCGCGAGTCGGCGAATCTCGAGGCGAGCGGGTTGCCCGGAGGTGGGCCTCGGTGACGAGGGGTGGAGCGCCGCCGCCTGGTTGTCGAGGCAGAGGTGGAGGGTGAAAGGCTGGGTGGACGAGGGGGTCAGCGTCCGCATCTTGCTGAGGAGCATGCGCAGCCCCTCAAGCTCGCCCCGATACACCGTGTGCTGACCGCCGAGCGCGGCGCTCTTCTCCTGCCACAGCTCCTCGCCGCAGAACACGGCTCGCAGCGCCCACCCGGCGCCAGCTCGCCCATCGATGAGGCTGCCGTCCGAGTAGCCGACGAGGTCGCTCGGCCCGAGGCCGTCAAGAAGCGCGAGGTGCGTCTCCTTCGCCTTGTCCTTGTTCTCGGCGACGATGGCGGGCGGCAGCGGGTCGGCCTCCCACGGCGCGACCGGCTCGGGCAGGAGCGTCTCGACGACGAGGGTGCGCGGGAGCGTGTCGGGGAACCCGTGCAGGGCGCGGTGGAGCGGCGAGCGGTGGTCGGGCCGCTGCGGCAGGTGGGCGCGCGCTCGCGCGACTCGAGGGTGGAGCGGGTGGGTCGGCGCCGCGCTCAAGGCGCGCAGCCCGACGCGGTGGACGGCGGCATCGAGGAGGAGCTGGACGGGCGGGAGCGCTGCCTCGACCTCGAGCGCCGCGAGGGCCGAGAGGCTGTACCCGCCGGTCACGAGCCGGGCGCACGTCCGCTGCACCGACTCGAACACCTTGACTGACCCGCCCTTGTCCCACCACACCCCCGCCATCCACAGCATCTTCGGGTACACGCACGCCCGCACCATGGCGCGCGTGTGCCGCGCCGAGAGGCCGACTCGCGCTCGCGCGAGGAGGCCGACGCCACCCGCCGCCTGCGCCGCTCGACTCACGCACGTGCGGCGGTGCGCGGCAAAGGTGAGCTCGGCGTCGATGCGCGCGCCGAGCATCGTCATCTCGTCGGCGTACGCGAGCTTGACGCCGTCGAGCACGACCGGCGGCGCCTCGGCGGCGGCGGCGGCGGCGGTCCTCGCGCCGGCGGTGCCGCGCTTGGGCCGGAAGACGACGGCGGTCGTCTTGGTGGCCTCGAAGGCGGATCGGTGCGTCCTCGACCACTTCTCAAGGTGACGCATGCGCGCGTTGAGGGCGTTGACCGCCGAGCTGACCGTCTTGCCCCACCCGAGCAGGTTGACGTCGTCGATCCACCCGGTCGCCATGGACGAGGCGGAGCGGCACGAGCGGAGGACGGACGGGTTGGGTCCGAGTGGGGCCAAGAGGCTTGGTCTGGCTGAGGATGCTACTGATGCACTGGCCCAAATCTGGCTCCATTACCATCAAGGTATACTGTTGTTGTCTCCCTGTGCCAAGCGGTAGGTCAGTAGCCCTGTTCCTCATGGAGCTGTGCACGCAGACAGGTTGGGTCCGAGTGGGGCCGAGAGGCTTGGACTGGCTGAGGATGCTACCAATGCACTGGCCCAAATCTGGCTCCATTACCATCAAGGTATACTATTGTATGGTCCCTGTGCCAAGCGGTAGGTCAGTAGCCCTGTTCCTCATGAGCTGTGCGCGCAAACGGGTTGGGTCCGAGAGGGTAAGGGCGGTAGGCTGGAAGACCTTTGCCTCATGGATCTGCGCGTGCAAACGGTTTGGGTCCGAGAGGGTAAGGCCCGCCAGGAACAGGTCTGCCTCTGCAGAACTGGGCCACAATGTCTGTTCAGCTTCAAACCTAGCTAACCATTTAAAGCGTGCTGTACTCTATCCCGCCCTGCAAGGGCAGCCCAATCTGACCGCACAACGGCCAGCTGGAAGGAAAAAGAAGGTGCAGGCTCGGAGGGATGGTCCCACTGAGCATGCTCCTGATGCAATATCGCAAATCTGGCTCCATTACTGTCAATGTATACTATCCAATGGTCCCTGTGCTGAGCGGTAGGCTGGGAGACCTCTGCCTCATGGATCTGCGCGTGCAAACGGTTTGGGTCCGAGAGGGTAAGGCCCGCCAGGAACAGGTCTGCCTCTGCAGAACTGGGCCACAACATCCGTTCAGCTTCTAACCTAGCTAACCATTTAAAGCGTACTGTACTCTATTATGCCCTGCAAGGGCAGCCCAATCTGACTGCACCACGGCCAGCTGGAAGGAAAAAGAAGGTGCAGGCTCGGGGGGATGGTCCCACTGAGCATGCTACTGGTGCAATATCGCAAATCTGGCTCCATTACCGTCAACATATACCATTAAATGGTCCCTGTGCCAAGCGGTAGGTCAGTAGCCCTGTTCCTCATGGATCTGTGCGCGCAGACAGGTTGGGTCCGAGTGGGGCCGAGAGGCTTGGTCTGGCTGAGGATGCTACCAATGCACTGACCCAAATCTGGCTCCATTACCATCAAGGTATACTATTGTATGGTCCCTGTGCCAAGCGGTAGGTCAGTAGCCCTGTTCCTCATGGAGCTGTGCACGCAGACAGGTTGGGTCCGAGTGGGGCCGAGAGGCTTGGTCTGGCTGAGGATGCTACCAATGCACTGGCCCAAATCTGGCTCCATTACCATCAAGGTATACTGTTGTTGTCTCCCTGTGCCAAGCGGTAGGTCAGTAGCCCTGTTCCTCATGGAGCTGTGCACGCAGACAGGTTGGGTCCGAGTGGGGCCGAGAGGCTTGGTCTGGCTGAGGATGCTACCAATGCACTGGCCCAAATCTGGCTCCATTACCATCAAGGTATACTGTTGTTGTCTCCCTGTGCCAAGCGGTAGGTCAGTAGCCCTGTTCCTCATGGAGCTGTGCACGCAGACAGGTTGGGTCCGAGTGGGGCCGAGAGGCTTGGACTGGCTGAGGATGCTACCAATGCACTGGCCCAAATCTGGCTCCATTACCATCAAGGTATACTATTGTATGGTCCCTGTGCCAAGCGGTAGGTCAGTAGCCCTGTTCCTCATGAGCTGTGCGCGCAAACGGGTTGGGTCCGAGAGGGTAAGGGCGGTAGGCTGGAAGACCTTTGCCTCATGGATCTGCGCGTGCAAACGGTTTGGGTCCGAGAGGGTAAGGCCCGCCAGGAACAGGTCTGCCTCTGCAGAACTGGGCCACAATGTCTGTTCAGCTTCTAACCTAGCTAACCATTTAAAGTGTGCTGTACTCTATCCCGCCCTGCAAGGGCAGCCCAATCTGACCGCACAACGGCCAGCTGGAAGGAAAAAGAAGGTGCAGGCTCGGAGGGATGGTCCCACTGAGCATGCTCCTGATGCAATATCGCAAATCTGGCTCCATTACTGTCAATGTATACTATCCAATGGTCCCTGTGCTGAGCGGTAGGCTGGGAGACCTCTGCCTCATGGATCTGCGCGTGCAAACGGTTTGGGTCCGAGAGGGTAAGGCCCGCCAGGAACAGGTCTGCCTCTGCAGAACTGGGCCACAACATCCGTTCAGCTTCTAACCTAGCTAACCATTTAAAGCGTACTGTACTCTATTATGCCCTGCAAGGGCAGCCCAATCTGACTGCACCACGGCCAGCTGGAAGGAAAAAGAAGGTGCAGGCTCGGGGGGATGGTCCCACTGAGCATGCTACTGGTGCAATATCGCAAATCTGGCTCCATTACCGTCAACATATACCATTAAATGGTCCCTGTGCCAAGCGGTAGGTCAGTAGCCCTGTTCCTCATGGATCTGTGCGCGCAGACGGGTTGGGTCCGAGTGGGGCCAAGAGGCTTGGTCTGGCTGAGGATGCTACGGATGCACTGGCCCAAATCTGGCTCCATTACCATCAAGGTATACTATTGTATGGTCTCTTTGCCAAGCAGTTGGCTGGGGAGACACGACGCGTCGGGCTCTCGCGTCGACTCTCAAGTGCTCGGTCGGCTTGACTCTGGCTTCGATGGCTACTTGTGGGGCTCAGATGGATCTCCAGCTCCGCAGCTACTCATGGAGCAGGGTCCGATACAGCTTGCCCGTGAGGTTTTGAGAAAAAGCGGCGCAAACGCGAGGCGCGGAATCAGCGCCCGTTTTCCGACGTCGTCTGATCGCTCATGTCCGGGCTTGCCGGTGTGTCCGCTCGCGGTAAACGCCAACGTTTGAAAGATAAGCTTGCTTGGATGCCCTGCGCACGCGCTGGCCTGATGGTCTAGAGGTATGATTCTCTCTTAGGGTCGTCCGACAATTTGGGAGAGGTCCCGGGTTCAATCCCCGGTTAGGCCCGCTTTTTTTCTCGCGCGCGGAAGATAGATTTTGCACCCCTTGTGAGCGGGACACAGGGAGCGCCCGCCTCGCCTCTCTCTCCCTTCGTCAGAGCTTGAGTTTGCTCTCGCTGAAGGTAGTCTCGAGATCTAAAGAAGGCGAACTGGGCTCGGATTACAAACGCGCTGAAGGACAAGGACAGAGAGAGAGAGAGAGAGAGGGTAGGCGGAGAAGGCAAGGCACAGAAAGAGTAGCTACAGAAAGCGAAGGAAGGCAAAGACAGGGGGCGATCGAGGCATGAAGGCGGCCGGCTGCCTACTTTGGCGCGACGGCCTCGACGGCGTACGCGGGCGCGGCCTCGACGACGACGACGACCGGCTCGACGGCGGCAAGAGGCGAGCGCTTCTCGTCGACGAGGGCACTGTCGACGTGTGCCTCGGCATCGAGGGTGCTGCCCTCACCGAGGACGATGGCGCCGCCCGTGTCCGACTCGGGGCGGGCCCAGACCTCCTTGTAGGTCCACAGGCTGCGGAACTCGCCGCGGAGCGAGGCCGTGACGGCGAGAGCGACGACCATGAAGGGGATGGCGAGCGAGAGCGCCATCATGTCGAACGTGCCCGCCTCGAGGACCTCGCGCGGGAGCGGGAGGGCGGCGATCCACAGGCCGACGACGGCGACCTGGGCGAGGATCCACGCCCACAGGGCCGTAGTGTAGTACGGCTTGGGGAAGGCGGTCGACATGGTGGCGGGGAGGATGACGCCCTGCGACAGGTACTTGGCGAAGCGCTTGCGCGGCTCGCACGTCTCGAGCGTGACGGCCTGGGCGACCTCGGGCGCGTCGGCGACGTGGTTGGCCCAGTCGAACCGGAAGCAGCCCGTGATGAGCATGCCCGGCGCGAACGCGTAGATGAACGGCGTCATGAGGCTGAGGTAGCGCATGACGACCGGCGACGCGAACGCGGGCGGGCCGTCGGGCCCGTCGTCGAGGCCCTCGAGGATGGGGCTGCCGGCAGCGCCGTCCATGAGGTACGTCGCGGCGTACACGACGATGAAGGCGACGGCGACAAACGTGACGGCGAGCCACGCGAGGAGGCAGATCATCGTGACGCGCAGGCTGAAGGTGCGACCGTGCGCGCCCGACAAGGTGCGGTACAGGAGGGCGACCGACAGGAACGACGCGAAGCCGTAGTGCAGGTCGAAGTAGGTCGCAACGTTGATGCCGGTCGCGATCGTGACCGCCGTCAAGACGCGCGGGAACGAGACGCTGCCGGGCGCCGGGCGGAAGGCGAGGACTGCGCAGGGTTGGCGGGGTCAGCGACGGGCGCACGGGGAGAGCACGAGGAGAAGGGGGCTAGGGACGCACGGTTGCCGGGCGACCGGAACGCGGCCCACTTGAACGACTTGTTGAGGTCGACGAGCGTCTGCGAGGAGCGAGGCGGGCGTCAGTCGGTGCGACCGAGGGCGAGAGAGGGCGAGAGAGACGGCGGGACGCACCCCCATGAGGGCGAGCTGGTAGACGAACGCGAACAGGTAGCGGAAGAACATGTCGAGGACGTGCTCGTCGCCGGTCGAGAGGAGCCAGATCTCGGTGCCGAAGACGGCGACCATGCCAACGACGAGGCCGACGCGGCGAGCCCAGGTCATCTTCTTCAGGTCCTTGTCCGACACCTTGGGCGGCGCCTCGGTGGCCTGGCTGGCGACGTAGCTCTGCGGGCGACGAGACCGAGGTGAGCCCTGCGAGCGGAGGCGAGCGGGACCGAGGCGAGTCGAGAGAGGGGGGCTCACCTTGAGCGACGTGCGGGCGGCCATGCTGAAGGCCAAGAGGCCTGGCAGGGCAGCTGTGTGCTGCGCGACGTACTGCGCGACGTCGAACGAGGTGTCCATGGCGAGGTGGCGATGCAGCTAGAGCCTCGGCGGACGGGGAGGGGAGGCGGCGAGGGTCAGGGGCGCGGCGCTTGACTGGGGGGAATGACTCGTGCTCACCTGTACGTGTGGAGAGTCCTGGACGGTGTCGAGCGCGCAGGGCACTTGAGGTGGTGATGGGAGACGAGGGCGAGCGGACGGCTCCGAGGTTCCGTCAGCGGGAGCTCCATCGGCAGAGGCGCCCGCGAGTCGCCGCGCAAGCTCTCCCAACGAGAACATCATGCGCAAGGGGCAAGCTCTCTGTGTTCCTCGTGGACAGCTACACACGTCCGCCGACCGCGCAGCTTCTCACGCCCACCTGGCCTCCAACGCACGGGCCTCGAGGAAAGCCGCAATCTCGCGGATGCCGTAGTCCCACCGGCTCTGCTCGCCGCCGTTCTTGTCGCGCGAGTTGGTCGGGACGATCTGCGCGAGTCGACGATGCATGAGCTCGGCAGGACGAGGGGAAGGGGGACGAGAAGAGGTGGGAGACGCACGGCGTCGAAGAGGGGCCAGTCGTGGACCGCGAGCGGCTTGAAGAGCTCTCGAGGAGCGACGCCGGCCTGCAGAACGGAAGGCGTCAAGGTGGAACGGTGCGAGACGGGCTGCGAGAGGGAACCGCACCTTCTTCAGCGCGTCGACCCAGAGCTCGATGTCGTCCGAGAAGATCTCCTTGCCGCCTGCTCGCGCAGAAAGCGGCGGTCAGTGAGGGCGCGACAGGGATAGAAAGGGACTGTTTTAGATGCACCCCAGGTCACGAGCGTCTTGCCATCGCCGGGAAGCGCCTCCTTAAACCATGCGAGGTCCTTGACGACATCGGCGTGCGGGTTGACGTACGGCGACGCGAGCAGCGCGAGCCCTTGCGCCTCGTCCGCCTCGGCAGCGCTCACCGACAGGTCGATGAGCCGACGCGGCGGCGGGTCGGCCGCCGTGCCGTTTGCGACCCACCGGAGCGGGTTCCAGCTCGGCGCGCGGCGCCACGCGGCGAGCTGCGGCGGGTACGGCTCGACGGCGCCGACGTAGCGCAGCGAGCCGTGAAAGACGCCGCCGTCGTCGATAAAGTCGACGGGGAAGGCCGGCGCGCGCGAGGCGTTGTACGAGAGGAGGTCGATAAACGGCGAGATGAAGAGGGCGGACTGTGTGCTCGAGGGGGATATCAGCTTCGGTTCTCAAGCTCAAGGACAAGATGAAAGAGGGCTTGAGGACGTACACCGGGCTGCTTGGGCGTCGAGCGCGAGTTCTCGGGCGGCTGGATGCGCTTGCTCGGCCGCGCGAGGTGCAGGAGGAAGCCGGCGACGAGGTTTCCGCCGGCCGAGTCGCCGCCGATGCAGATGCGACGCTCCGAGATGCCGAGCTCGTCGACGAGGTAGCGGTACGCGGCGAGGATCTGGCGCTGCTGGGTCGGGTAGATGTGCTCGGGCGCGAGCGCTGCGGGATGGGGTAGTCAGCGCTGCTCAAACGAGTTGCTAGCACCTCGGGGCAGCAGGCTCGTCGGGATAGATAGGCAGAGGAATCGGACTCACAGTAATCGAGGTGGAAGATCGAGAAGTTGACGCCGCGAGCGTTGACGAGCTTGGTGAGGGCGACGAACGCGGGCTCGCACGTCGCGGCCGTGTCGTGAGTGAACGCGCCACCTGCAGGAACCGCAGAGAAGTCAGTTCTGTCGACGAGGGCCATGACGAGAAGGCGCAGGACGCACCGTGGACCCAGAACAGCACCAGGTCGTCGTCCTTGCGGCTCGACGCGCTCGAGCTGGGAGGCGCAACCCAGTTGGCCTTGACGTCGCCGGCGTTGGCCCGCGTCACCCACGAGCTCGGGAGGCTCATGCCGAGGCTGAACAGGGCGCGGCCGGGTGCGACGCCGAGGTGGAGGAAGATGTGTCGAACGAGGACGGCGGCCGCCTCGGCGAGCGGCGAGCGGCCGAGGTCTTGGACGAGGGGCGAGGTCGAGCGGAAGAGGACGAACTGGTAGACGAGGTGGAAGGGTAGGCGAAGGAGCAGGGCGGTCGTCGCCAGGAGGGCGTGTACGGTCGAGCCGAAGGTGTGTCGCTCGACGAGGGTCATGACGGGTGCTGGAGGGCGGGAGACGGCAGCCTCGGCGCGCAGAGCTTGTCGCGGGAGTGTTGGAAGCGGAGACAAGTGCAAGGACGAGGGTGGGCCGTCGCCTCGGCGAGTCGGCCGCCGGTTGTCGGCGATGAGGACGGCGAGCGGGGAAGGGCTCGAGTGCGCCACCGGGGGCGACGAGGCGCCTCGTGGTGCTCGCCGAGGGGCTGTTTAGAGCATTGGGCCGAGCAGCGGGTGCACCGGGGCGAGTGGTGCGGGAGAAGAGCGAGCCGTCGCCTTCGTTCGTCGTCGTCGTCGTCGTCGATCGGGCTCGGACTTGTTCCTCACTCAGCAGCGCTCCAGCCGGCACCAGCTGTAGCGACCCCAGTCATGCAGCCCAGCGACAAGGCCGCCCCGCTCAAGACGCGCCTCGCCCGCCAGCTCGCCGCCTCGGGCGCCGTCTCGCTCGCCGACCCGAAACTCGCCCTCTACCTCGACGCCAACGACCCGCTCCAGGAGTTCCGCCAGCGCTTCAGCTTCCCCAAGCGCCGCACCGTCTGGCCCGATGAGTACCGCGCCGAGAAGGAGCGCCTCGGCGAGGACGACCGCGACGAGGATGCGACAGAATGCGTCTACCTCGCCGGCAACTCGCTCGGCTTGATGCCGTGCGACACGCCAGCGTTGCTGCAAGAAGAGTTGTCGGTCTGGAGCGCGTCGTGAGTCCCGGGCCCTTCCTCGCCCGTCCCCGTCTCCTCCTCCCTGTCGCTGACTCGGTTGCGCGCGCGTGCAGGGGCGTCCTCGGGCACATGGACCACGGCTACGGTCGACCCTGGGTCAAGATCGACGAGCACGTCACGCCCATCCTCGCCGAAATCGTCGGTGCGTCGCCTCGCCCCCTCCTCTGCACGCCAAAGCCTGACTGACAGCTCCTCTCGCGCAGGCGCCAAGCCGTCCGAGGTGGCCTGCATGGGCTCGCTCACGGGCAATCTCCACACGCTGTTCACGTCCTTCTACCGGCCGACGCCGCAGCGACACAAGATCCTGTACGAGGGCAAGGCCTTTCCCTCGGACGCTGTGCGCACCTTCTTCCCCTTTTGTCTCCTCCCGCAGGCGCACGTCTGACTCTTGTCGCCGCTCGCAGTACGCCTTCGCCTCGCACATCGCCTTGCACGACTACCCGTCCTCGTCCCTCCTTCCGGTCTTCCCGCGCGACGGCGAGCACACGATCCGGACCGAGGACGTCCTGCGCATCATCGAGGACGAGGGCGACTCGATCGCCGTCATCTGCTTCGGCGCCGTACAGTACTACACGGGCGAGTGGTTCGACATGGAGGCGATCACCAAGGCTGGGCACGCCAAGGTGCGCCCCTCGTTCTCCTTTTCTCTCGCCCGGGCACCCTGTCCTGACTCTCGCGCCCACGCTCACAGGGCTGCATCGTGAGCTTCGACTGCGCGCACGCCGTCGGCAACGTGCCGCTCAAGCTGCACGAGTGGGGCGTCGACTTTGCGTGCTGGTGCTCGTACAAGTACCTCAACTCGGGCCCGGGCGGCATCGCGGGCCTCTTTGTCCACGAGCGGTGGGAGGACCGGCGCCGGTGCGTCTCGCTCTACCGCCCTCTCTGCCCCCCTTCAGCTTGTCTCGGGTGCACGTCGTACTGACTGAGCTTGCTCTTGTGCCTGCGCAGGTTGCACGGCTGGTGGGGCCACGACAAGGCGACCCGGTTCGCCATGCCGGCCAACTACTCGCCTCTTCCCGGCGCAGCAGGGTGGCAGTTCTCGAACCCGTCGGTCCTCGACGTCGTCTCGCTCCTGTCGTCGCTGCGCCTCTTCCAGGAGGCCGGCCAGGTCCCGACGCGCGCGCTCGCCGGCGGGCAGGCGCACGGCCAGCCGAGCCCGATCCTCGGTTCGCTCAGGGAAAAGTCGGTTGACCTGACTGGGTACCTCGAGCTCCTCCTCACGTCGTCGCCGTTCTACCGGCCCGCGTCGTCGTTCCCTCCTTCATCCTCCTCCTCCTCGTCGTCCTCCCCCTCAGCCGCCTTCACCATCATCACGCCGCTCGACCCGGCACGACGAGGCGCGCAGCTCTCGCTCCTCTTCCACCCGGTCGAGTCGATGGACTGGATCTTTGAGCGCTTGCGCGAGCGAGGCGTCCTCGGCGACGAGCGGCGGCCGGGCGTCATCCGGTTCGCGCCCGTCCCGATGTACAACTCGTGGCGGGACGTGCACGAGGCGGCGCAGGCGCTCGAGGAGGCGATGCGCGCGCTCGTCGAGTGGGTCGGGCAGGGTGGGAGGCTCGACGAGGTCGAGCAGCAGGATCCGGACGCGGCGGCGAGGGAGAGGACGGCGGCGGCCGAGGACGAGGGGCTCAAGCAGTAGAGTGTCGCGAGACTGAGACGGAGCCGTTTCAAGTACCAATGAGACCGTGTTGCACGAGCGAGAAGCTCGAAAGAAGCTGCGGCGAGAGACGTGCTCCAGCAAGCGGAGCGACTTGGCGAGAGCGACGAAGGCAGGCCGCGCGTCGGCGGTCGCTCTCCCCGCCTCGACAGCTCGCCTCTCGCCCACCCCGCTCGCTCCACCTTGCACGACAGCGCACACTCGAGCTTGACTCGCCTCTTCGCACCAGCCCCGAGCAGTAACCACCCTCTTCAAGCCCGCTAGCAGGAGCCATGGTGCGTCCTCCTCGTCATCGTCGACCCGTCCTCGCCTGCGTCGACAGCCCAGCTGACCGTTGCGCGTCCTGCATGTGCGCAGTCGTCCATCGGAACGGGCTACGACCTGTCTACGTCGACCTACTCGCCCGACGGCCGCATCTTCCAGGTCCGTCTCCTCCCCCTCCCTCTCATCGCTCGCCCGCCCGTCCGCGCTCCCTGCTCTAGCAGCAGCGAGCTTGGTAACTCGAGGGGCTCGCTGACAGACTCTGGACTTGTGCGGAACAGGTCGAGTACGCCAACAAGGCCGTCGAGAACGCCGGCACGGTGATCGGCCTTCGCTGCAAGGACGGCATCGTCCTCGCCGTCGAGAAGCTCGTCCTCTCCAAGCTGCTCGTGCCCGGCGCCAACAAGCGCATCGCGACCGTCGACCGTCACGCTGGACTCGTGCGTCCCTCTCCTCTCCCTCTCTCTTCCTATCGGCGGGCCAGCACCAGAGCTGACGCAGCCCTCCCCTTCCCCTCCCTCTTGACCCTTCCTCGCCGCATCCCTCTGCGCCCTCCCGTCGCGACCACAGGCAACAGCAGGTCTTCTCGCCGACGGGCGGCATCTGGCGGGACGGGCACGCGACGAATGCGAGTCGTACCGGGACAACTACCACACGCGCATCCCGACCAAGGTGCGTCAGCCCTTTCCGCTTCCCTCGTCGTTCGCCTCGCCGCGAAGTCGGGCCGCCTGACTTACTCGTAGCGCATCGGCTGACTCTCTCACCTCGCCCAGATCCTCGCCGAGCGCCTCGCCATGTACTTCCAGGCCTACACGCTCTACTCGTCTGTGCGCCCCTTTGGCCTGTCGGCCATCCTCGCCGGGTGGGACTCGCCGACCTCGATCGACGGCTCGGACTCGGTTGTCGAGCGCAAGAGCGAGGGCGTGCCGCAGCTGTACATGGTCGAGCCGAGCGGGACGTTCTGGGTGCGTCCCCCCTCTCTTTCGCGTCGCGGCGCTCGTCGTCGCCTGACCCTCACTGACGCCGTCTCTCTGCCCCTCGCGCGCAGGGCTATCGTGGATGCGCGATCGGCAAGGGCCGGCAGCTGGCCAAGACGGAGATTGAGAAGCTCCCGCTCGACACGATGACGGCCCAGGAGGCGCTCGTCGAGGCGGCGCGCATGTGCGTCCCACTTCTCTCTCCTCCTCCCTCTGCCTCTCAAGGACCAACTCGCAGAAGCCCTGACCCGCTCTCTCCTCGCCCTGCAGCATCCACACGGTGCACGACGACGCAAGGACAAGGACTTTGAGCTCGAGCTGACGTGGATCGCGCCGCAAAGCGGATGGCTGCACAAGCCGGTCCCCAAGGAGCTCGCGGACGAGGCGGAGGCCAAGGCCAAGGCGGTCATTGATGCGGCCAACGCGATGGAGGACTGAGCGCGCGAGTCGGGCCCGCCGCGTCGTACCCCCTTACCATCCCTCCGGTCGCCTACTTTCTCTCTCGAGCTGTACATCGAGCGTGGACCCGCACTGCATGCAACGAGGTCGACCTACCTTCTGTGTTCCACCGCGTCTCGAGCTCAGAGAGCGCGGTGCGCACCGACCGATGCGAGCCAGGCGTTCTCCTCGTCGACCTCGCGCGTTCTTCGGGTCCTTCGGGCCGACGCGTCAAGTTGAGAGCGCTCGAGGAGCCTGCGGCGTGCGGATTCGGGGTGCGCTTGGCGTTTGCAAAATACGAAACTCGAGCCCCCTCGTTTCCCGGCCGGAGCGGCTCTCGGTCAACGCACCTTCTCGCGCCTCTTTCCCTCTCGTCCCGCCTCGTCTCCCGCCTCTTTCGCCTCGCGCACCTTCGGCTCTCACGATGCTCGTTGCCCGCACCCCGCCTCCGACGTCGCCCATCCACCACGACCTCGTCTCGCGCGACTTCTTCGCGAGCAACCCCCACACGCAGCCTCAATCCGCTCGCCCCTCGGTCGCCCGCCGCCCGAGCGCGCTCCGCAACGCGAGCAGCGACCACCTCATCACGCCCGCCGTCACCCGCTTCGCCACGGGTCAGCCAAAGAGCATCCCGCCGTCGACGACGGGTGTCGCGACCGGGAACGAGCCTCTCGTCCCGGCGGCCTCGGCAACGTCGCCAGACGGCATCGTGCGCCCGTTGCCAGTGCGGGCCGCGTCTTCGTCCTCTTCTCGGGCCGCAGGCGCCGAGCCGACGAGTCTCGCGGCAGGTGGGCCGCTCGCGCTGCCGTCGCCGGGCTTCGCGAGCCCTGCCCTCGTCCGCCCGTCGCTCAACCCGCTCGGCGGCAGCTCCGACTCGGGCGGGCCCCCGTCGAGCGGCTCGCTCCTCGCGCGCCGTCGCTCGTCGCGGTCCACCGCACGCCCCGACGTCCTCCCCCTCCTCGCCGACCTGTCGCTCGCCGGCGCGCTCCCCTCGCCCTCGCTCGCCGAGCTCGACGACGACGTGCGCCCGACCGTCATCGGCGAATCGAGCCACGCCCAGACGCCGGCGAGCGAGGCGTCGAGCCCTGTCGTCGCACGCGCACCCGGCGCCGGCGTCGTCAAGCAGCTCGTCGAGACCGAGTTCCGCCCGACGCGGGACAAGGTTCACACGCCGTTCCCGGGCCGCTTGCCCAACTGGATCGACGAGGAGGACGAGCTGGACTCGCCCGTGCGCACCTCGTCGTCGCAGAGGGACGCAGTCGTCGGGTCGAAGAGCGAGGCGGCCGAGCAGGACGACGCAGCGGCGCCCTGATGCCTCGTGCCTCAGCTCTGCGCAAGAGCATCATGTGGTCCGTCCCTCTCTCTCTCTTCTCTCCCTCTCTTTCGACTGGCGGGCAGGGCGCAGACCTAACGAGCCATTGCGTCGCGCAGAAAACGATTCCCCAGGGGCAACAGACTCTCTTTCGCCTTTGCACCCGCCGCTCGCACCCTCGGCATTTCTCATCCTGTTGTAGCTGTCGTGCATTATTCCTTTCGTCGACTTGCGCTGTCCGTCCGTCGAACGAGAGAGATAGGGCGACCGCGGGACGGGAGGAAAGCCGCAAGGAGGCGGTGGTGGCTCGACCTCCACCGCCTCATCGCCGCTCCCCGACTGCGTGCTTGCGACAAAGCTCGGTGGGTTCTTTGAATCGTCCTGCGCCATGGCAGGCGGTCGCCAGGGTGCGTCCCGCCTCGTCCTCTCGCTCCTCCCCCACTTCGTCATGACGACCGGCGCACTCACTCGCTCCCGCCCCCAGGTCGTGCCAGTGCTCCCATGGAGGACGAGAACAGCCATCAGGCCGTGTGGGGCATGCGTCAACCTGCACAGAGCTCGTCGACCACCTCGTCCGCCCCTTCATCAGCCGCCCCGTTCCGTCTCGACCTTCCCGACCCTCCTTCTGCCCAGCCGTCGAGCGAGCCCGGCCACCTGTCGCAAGCCACGCCACGCGGTCGTAGCTCGTCCTTGACCGACGCAGCGCCACTGCACGCGCCCGCCCGCCGCTCCTCGACCAGCACCCTCGCATTCGACCCCCGCCTACCTGTCGCACCGCTCGCCAAGTCGCTTGCCGACCTCCCGTTCGACATCCTCGAGCGCATCGGCGAGCTCTTGCTCCCGATCATCGTGCCCGCCCACTCGAGCGGCGACCGCACCTCGTCGCAGGAGTGGACCGGCCAGCGCGACGACGTCGTCCGGTTCCGCTCGACGTGCAGGGCGACTTGGCGAGCAACGGCCCGCCTCGTTCAGCGCGTCTGCAACGTCGAGGTCCCCGAGCCGAGGTTCGGGTTCTCGCCAGCCCACCTGTGGAAGGGCGCCGACGCCGTCGCGCTCAGCGCCATCTCGCTCGCAGACGAGCCCTACGCTCGCCTTTCGACACCCAGTCGCTTCATCCCGGCGAGCAAGATTCGACAACTGTTCGCGCACTGGTCGGTGCCCGGCGCGTGGGACCAGCCCTGTGGCGGCTGCTCGACGGCCGCCGAGCTGTTCGCCGCCAAGCTCGCGGGCATGACTCGCCTCGAGTCGCTCGCGCTCGTCTGGCAGGACGAGGAGGCCGTCACGAGAACGTCGCCGTACACGGTCGACACGCTCCCGGCCGAGATCCTCGTCGCCCTCTCGCAGCATCCGACGCTGCGCGAGCTGTACCTGTGCGGCATCAAGCTCTCGCGGCGCCTCTCGTCCGGCGACAAGCTCGACGACGTCCCGACCCTTCCGTCGCAGCTGCGTACCCTCACGCTCAACGCCTGCCACGACTCGGCCCTCGAGCTCGTCACGCTCGCGCCCGGCGTGACTCAGATGCGCGTCCAGCGCGACTTTGCGAGCCCGCCGAGGGTCCAGCCCGACTGCTTCTGGGACCTCAACGTGTGGATGCGCGCCGAGGAGGTCGACATTGTCGGCTTGAGCGGCACGCAGAGTCGTCCGCTCTTCATCCACTGGCGCAACGAGCTCGAGGTGCGTCTCCCCTTTCGCTCTCTGTCCCGTGCTCTCCCTCTCTCTCGCGCGCATGCACTGACTCGCTCACGCGAGCAGATCTTGCGCAGCCTGTCGCCGCCGCCGTTCATCCCGCTCCGGTCGCTCCGCCTCGTCGAGCCGTACCTGCTGAACGACGTGCGGTCGATCGTCCTCCCGACCTTCGCCCTCCTCCCTCAGCTCCGCCACTTCGCCATCTTCATCTGGAGCTCGCGCGACTTTGGTCCGTCGATTGTGGGCGAGATCCATGCGGCGATGCCCGACCTTGACGAGCTCGGGGTCGCGCTCGACTCGGAGTGCCTCGCGTGGTGGCCTGGCGCCCTCGCCTCGTACGCCGAGCGCCTCAAGCGCTTCTGACACCTGCACACCTTCATCTGGAACTACACTCCTGTGCGCCCCCTTTCGCTCGTCTTTCCTCGTCCAGCGCCTGACCTGCCTCGTCGCCCGCGCACAGTACGCCGACCTCGACTTTCCCTCGACGCGCTGCCACATCTTCCCCCTCGTCAAGGACCGCCTCTTCCCGTACGTCCCGAGCCTGCGCGCCCTGCGCTGGTTCGGCCACGACCCGCACCTGCGCCAGCTCGACGGCGACAACGACGGCGGCGCCGACCAGCGCGGCCGGTGGGCCTGGAGCGACGACCCGCGTGTGCGCCCCCCTGACGATCGCGTGGATGCGCGACGCGCTCCCGCCTGGGCAGCCGCTCGACCTCGGCTCGGCCGGCGCGGCGCAGGAGCTGCACGGCGCGCGGCTCGCCGGCGACCCGTTCTCGAGCCCGAGCAGCAGCTCGTCGCCCGTCGTCGCCGGGTCGCGCATCGTCGACGGGTCGCGCGACGCCGAGGACGGCGACGAGGTCGAGCCGAGTGGGGCGACGGGCGGTGGCGGGCGCAAGGGGCGCGCCAAGCCGCGCAAGTCGGTCCTCGAGCAGCTCGAGGCGCTGCGGGCCCACGCCGCGACGGTCGAGGTGCCGGCGGGGCCGACCGCGCAGCTGGTCAAGGGGAAGGAGAAGGGCAAAGGAAAGGCGGTGCTGCGGGAGCGGTAGAGCTTGGCGGGCGACGAGCAGGACGACGTGTTCTGGTCGGCGGGGCACGCGTGAGCGAGGGGGACGGACACTGCTTGGTTGGGCTCGACGATTTGTCTCTGTCTCTCAGTGCAATACGTGTTGCTTGTCGCACGCTCGCTCTCGAGAGATTCTCTCTCTTCAGCCAGGCGAGGACCGCTCGTGGGTGCTCTGTCAGGGTCGGCGAGGTCGAGGTCAAGCGCGGTCGTTGCAAAAGCTGCGGCGGGAGGGGGGAGGGACGCCAAAGGTACTGAAGGGAAGACTACTGACAGAGAAGAGAAAGGCGAAAGGGTACGTGGCGCGGGGAGAACGAGAGGGAAAAAGCGGGCGCCGAAGCGAGGGAGGGGAGGATGCGGCCTTACATGCCGCCGGTGCGGCGAGTCTCGCCGCGGAGGCGGCGCGCGAGCTGCATGTCTGTGGGTGTTTGTGTAGGTGAGCGAGACTCGAGCACATCTCGGAGACACCGCGGCCGTGGAGAGAGAGAGAGAGGACGCACCCTTGGGCTGGACCGTGACGCGCTTGGCGTGGATGGCGCACAGGTTGGTGTCCTCGAAGAGCGCGACGAGGTCTGTATGCGGCGTGAACCGAGTCAGTCCGGCTGCAGCCGACGACAAGGCGCCGGCCTCGAGGGAGCGAGAGAAAGAGAGCGGCGGACGCACAGTCCTCGGCAGCCTCCTGCAGCGCCCCGAGCGCCGCCGCCTGCCAGCGCAGCGTCTCGTGCTCGTTGGTGCAGATCTCGCGCACGAGGCGGACGAAGCTGTGGCGCAGGGAGAGGGGCGGAGAGGGTCAACTCGCGTGACTAAGGTCCTCGATTCGAGAGGAGGGAGGGAGAGGTGGACGCACGGCGCCTTGCGGATGAGGAGCTCGGTCGACTTCTGGTAGCGGCGGATCTCGCGCAGGGCGACCGTGCCGGGGCGGAAGCGGTGCGGCTTGCGAGGCTTGCCGTCCTTGTTGAGGGTCGGCGGCTTCTTGGCGGCCTTCTGCGACTGGTACTTGGCCTGCGCGGCGGGACCCTTGACGGCCGACTTGTGCGAAGGCTTCTTTTGCTTGGTGCGAGGCATGACTGGCGGCCGGGGAGCGACGAGGAGGAGCTGGGGGCGAGAGGTTGAGGGAGGAGGACGAGGGGCGAGAGGCGCGACGACGAGGGCGTAGGGCGAGGCGAGAGGTGGCTAGGTCGCACCGGCGGAAGCTCGAGAGCGGAGTGTAGGGCGACTCGAGCTGGCAGAGCGAGAGCGAGGGTGCGAGCAGAGGAGGACGAGAGGACGTGGTGCGCCGCCGAGACTGAGCGAGCCAGAAGCCGTCTCACGTCAACCACGTCGGGCACAGAGCTGCTGAGCTTGCGGCTCCCGCCTTCTGGGCACCGCTAGCCCCGAGCGCGGTCTCTGCCCCGGCCAGTAGCGACCCAGCTCGCCGAACCGCTCCGCTCGTCGCCGCTCATCTCGTCCTTACCATCACGCTACGAGCTGGGCGCGCACGACCGCCTGCGCTTCGTGCGGACGCTCGAGATCAGCTACAGCTCGAGCTGCTGCGCTGCGCCGCCAGGCTAGCCACGCCAAGGCGGCGGCGCTGTCGAGCGTCGTCGGACCAGGCGACGGAGGACCAGCGGTCGGCTCGAGGCCGACGGCGCACGGTGAACCCCGCCCCCGCCGACTGCTCGCGCGAGGGCAGAGCAGATCAGCTTGGCGTCGAGCAGGTGGGCGCCCTCATCGCGTCAGCGCCCGAGTCGTCGCTCGCCCGAGCGAGCGCCAGCTTTGACAGTCCCGGGCAGGGACGCCGCGCACACGGCGCATGCGACGAGGGTCGGCTTTGGGTCCTTGTTCACGCGTGGGCGAACCTCGGCGAGCGCGCCGGGGAGGCGAGGCGCTCTGGACCCGGTGTCGACGGCCGGAGCGGGCAGAAGGACGACGAGGTGGTTTGCCCTCTCTCGCTCTCCTGCGCCCCGAGACCTGCAGCGACTGACGTGTCCTGCCTGTTGCGCACGCAGCGACGGGCGATCTGCTCTCGAGACAACCCAACTTCGGCGCGTGGCAGGCCCCGGATCCGGAAGGCTGTCGCACGCCGCCTTCTCGTCCCTGGTCCCGCGATCTCGTCGGGACCTGCGCGACCTCGGACACGCCGGCATGCGCACCTTGTCGTCCTCCATCTCTTCCACCCCTCCCCTTCCCTCCAGCTCCTCTCCTCGTCCCGCACCCCGTCAAGAGCGTTGATCGCCGCGACCCGCCCATCCTCCTCCTTTCGGCCAACGTCGACTCGTTCAACCGCCTTTGTTCACCGCTCCTGCCCTTCAACCTCGTCCACCCGCACGCCGACGACCGTCACACCGACCGTCACCTCCTCGCGACCTTCGTCGCCTCGATCACCCTCGTCGTCCGCTGTGCGGCCCTCGGGCGAGCTCTCGTCGTCAACGCACAACCTCTCTTTCTGCTCCTCGTCGTTCATCGTGCAGGTGCGCTCTCGCTCTTCCTCCCTTGTCGCACGACGACCGGTACTGACCTCTCCCGACGATACAGCGCACGGCCCTCGACCACCTTCCTCCTCGTCCACTCTTTCCCCCTCTGCGCTCGACCATGGCCGACATCCACCCGCAACATATCCACACGCACCACGGCGCACACGCCTTTGCGCCGGCGAGCCCGTGCGCCGACGACTATGCCGGCGAGGTTGCGCTCCTGCGAGCCTCACTCGCCCACCTCGCGGGCCAGCTCGAGGCCGAGAAGCAGCGCGTGTCGGCGCTCGAGGCGCAGCGTCGCGCCGACGAGGAGAAGGTGACGACGCTGCGCTCGATGGTCGAGGAGTCGCGCCGCGCCCTCATGCGCCTCCAGCTCGAGGCCAGCAAGCGCTCGAACGAGGCGTCGCCGTCGTCGCGCCGCGGCTCGATCGACGTCGACTACTCGTTCCCGCCTCGGCGAGGCTCGCTCCTCACCATGGACCGCAACCTGCCCCGACGCCGGTCGTCGCTCGGTCTCGGTGCCATCACGGGCTCGCCGGTCGACAGCCCGTCGACGCCCGTCGACGAGCAGCCGCCGGTCCTCGCCGGCCTCGGCTTCGCCCTCGAGTCGCGCGCCGACGCGCCCAACAGCCTCCTGCGGGCCGCGACGCCCAACTCGCTCGCGCGGTACGCCCACCGCCGCGGGTCGGCGAGCATAGCCGTCGCGCCGCAGGACGACGACGACGCGCAGCGCATGGGCCGCCTGCGCGAGCTGCGCCTCGGCGTGCACTCGACCAAGATTGCGTCGCGCCGCAGCTCGGCCGTGTCGGGCCTGCCCGACTTTGTCCAGGCGGGCGAGTTCGAGCGCGACCTCGAGCGGCGGTCCGGGCGCCGGCTCAGCACCGTGTCGTTCTCGGGCCGGGTCCGCACCGACGGCGGCGGCGACGTCGCCACCTCCGACGGCGAGTCGCCCATCTCGGCCAACCTGAACCTCCTCGGGCGCAAGCAGTCGCTCGCCGTGTTCGAGGCTTGGAGCCGGCGCTCGTCGACGGCCGACTCGTCGTGCGGCGCATGGTCGAGCAGCGGCGACTCGCACGACGCGACCGACGAGCAGCTCGTCGATCTGCGGCTGCAGCTCGAGGGCCTGCGGATCCAGCTCGTCGAGGCCGAGGAGGGCCGCCGCGCGAGCGAGGCGTGCCTCGCCGCCCTGCGCGCCTACATCACGTCGTCCGACTCGTACGACGAGCCGAGCCACGGGCTCGGCATGTCGCTGCCGCCGCTGCCGACCGACGCTGCCGTCGACGCCCTCGGCGACTCGACGCCGTCGACGGCGCACTGCGCGAGCCCGGCGCCCGCCGCGCCCCGCCGTTCCTCACGGTGGTCGATCCCGCGCCTGTCGTTCTCGCTCCCGAGTCGCGAGGCCGGCACGCCGTGCACCATGTCGCGCAAGGAGTCGACGGCGTCGAACGCGTCGGGCTCGACCCTGTTCGACAACGCGAACCGTGCGGCGCCGTCGTCGACGACGACGACGACGGGCACGCCGTCGTTCGGCGCCTTCTCGTTCTCGACGCTCGTGTCGCGCTCGGCGACGACCGTGTCGGCAGAGACGTCGCCGCGCATGCGGTGCGGTCAGTCGCCGTTGGCCGACTCGTTCCCGGTCGACCCCTCGCCGCTCATGCGCTCGCACTCGTCGTCGTCCGTCTCGACCCGCAACGGCGGCGGCAGCCACTCACACTCGGCGTCGATCGACGACGCGGCGTCGCTCGCCGAGTCGGTCGCGCCGTCGCTCGTGTCGGACCGCGACTCGGCGTCGGCGTGGTCCGCCTCGTCGTCGCGCTCGACCTCGCCGAGCCCCAAGCTGCGGCACCTCGCGTTGCTCGGCGGCGTCGACCACGACGGCGTCGTCGCACGGCCCGAGGTCGACCTCGCCGCCGAGGAGGCGTCGGCGCACCCGTTCGCGCTCTCGGAGAGCTTTGGCCTCGGGCTGTCGTCGCCGGACGCGTCGTGCACGGGCCACGATGCCGTCGTCGAGGCGGCGCGCATGCCCATGGTCAAGGGCAGCCTGGTCGCCCTCTCGAGCGCTGTGCGGCAGAGGGCCTGAGCGTACCGCAGACGGGCGGCGCTTTCTTGTGTCTCGTTCTCTCCTCTCCCTCCTGTAGCCAGCTTTCCGCCCTGCCTTTCCTGTAGCGCTAGACTCTCGCGATGTTCTCTCGCTGCCTGCGTTCGAGTAGAGCGAGAGCGAGACCTTCGACCAAGAGAGGGAGCTCGCGCGAGGAGGGGGGGTGCAAGACGCGGTCAGCTTTCCGAGGACGACGCTCTCGAGGGCCGACAGACGCGGTCTCAATAGAGAGAACCGGGACGATGCATTGCAGAACGGCGTGTCCTGCCCTCGCTCCATTGCTCAAGTCGCCCGCGGGCTGAAAGAATGTCGGCACCTGCTCGCCAACCGCTCGGCGCAGCTGTGGGACGCTGGCCGGGCAAGTGAGGCGGCAGACGGGCCGTGGTGATCTTGGTGCGGTTCAGGAAGGGACCCTCTGTCTGACCAGAGAGGGCGCCGCAAAGCCGCCCGTCGAAGTGAGGAGCAAGAGCAGGTTGGCGCGCGCGAGGCGAACAGACGGCGGCGACGGGTCGACCTCCCCTCGAGCCCGCACCATTGCCTCGCTCCGCATCACCATGCTGCGACTCGGCGCCCGGCGAGCGCTTCCGCCGCGTGCCCTGCTCCACCTGCGGCACCAGTCGACCCAGCCCCTCCCGCCGCTGCCCCGCCCCGAGCCCGTCGTCGTCGCCGCTCCTCCCCTCCCCCCGCCCGAGACGACCACTCTCCCGCCCCCGAGTACCGCCCCAGGCCCGTACCCGGCTGCACCAGACCCGACTCGACCTGTACCCGACCTCGCCGCACCGGCGGCCAAGCCCGCACCGCCGCCGCCGCCGCCGCCCTCGCCGCCCAAGCCGCCTGCACCACCTGCCGTGCCGTCTCTCCCGAGCCGGCCCAGCGGCCCAGGGTTCGGCAGGCGCCTGCGGTCGCTCCTCCTGTCGTCGGCACTGTTCTTTGGCACCGGCGCCTTCCTCGTCTATGCGTACGACTCGCGCGCGGGCGTCCACCGGTGCGTTCCCGCTCTCTCCTCTCTCTCTCGGTGCGACAAGTACTGACGAGCCTCCTCGTGCGACAGATGGTTCGTGCAGCCGGCCTTCATGGCGCTCACCAAGGACGACCCCGAGCTCGCGCACGAGATCGCCGTCAAGCTCCTGTCGCAAAACATGGGCCCGGTCGACTGCGGCACCGACGACGAGCGCCTTTCTCTCGAGGTGCGCCCCCCTTTCTCTCCTTCTCAACATGTGAGTCAGACGGGACGAGACGCTGACTGACCCGCCATCGTTCGTGCGCGGCAGGTGTGGGGCAAGAAGTTCGACAACCCGTTGGGCATCTCGGCCGGCTTCGACAAGCACGCAGAGGCCATCGACGGCCTGTTCAACCTCGGGTTCGGCTACGTCGAGGTCGGCAGCATCACGCCCGAGCCGCAGCCGGGCAACCCCAAGCCGCGCGTGTTCCGCGTCCCCGAGACCGAGTCGGTCATCAACCGCTATGGGTTCAACTCGGAGGGCCACGACGCTGCCCTCGCCCGCCTCCGCCAGCGCATCATCGGCTTCGTCAACCGCTACGCGAGCCTCCTCCCGCCGTCGCTGTTTCCGCCCACGCCCGAGACGCAGGCCGCCATGGACCACTTTGACCCGGTGCGCGCGTACCTCGCGTCGCAGGACGGCGCCGGCGCCGCCCCGGCCGACGCCGTCGACATGCCGCGCAGTCTCACGCCGGGCAAGGTGCTCGGCATCAACCTCGGCAAGAACAAGACGAGCGACCCGGACTCGATCGCCGACTTTGTGCGCGGCGTCGAGTCGCTCGGCCCGTACGCCGACGTCCTCGTCGTCAACGTGTCGTCGCCCAACACGCCCGGCTTGCGCAACCTGCAGCGCAAGGGCATGCTGAGCGAGCTCCTCGAGGGCGTCGTCAAGGCGCGCGACGGCCTCCCGGGCCACGTCAAGCCGCCCGTCCTCGTCAAGGTCGCGCCCGACCTTGACGACGAGCAGGTGTCCGACATCGCGTACGCCGCGACCCACTCGGGCATCGACGGCGTCATCGTGTCCAACACGACCATCTCGCGCCCCAAGTCGGCCGGCTCGTCGCCGACGCTCGCCGAGACGGGCGGCCTCTCGGGCCCGCCGGTCAAGCAGCTCGCGCTCCGCGCCCTGTCGGCCCTGTACGAGCAGACGGATGGCAAGATCCCGCTCGTCGGGTGCGGCGGCATCTCGACCGGCCAGGACGCGCTCGACTTTGCCAAGGCCGGCGCGAGCCTCGTCCAGCTCTACACCGGGTTCGTCTACGGCGGCGTCGGCCTCCCGCGCCGCATCAAGGACGAGCTCGCCGAGCTGCTCAAGGCCGAGGGCAAGGCGTGGAAGGACGTCGTCGGCACCGCGCGCGTCAAGAAGGCCGTTCCGGCACCCGCCGCCGCCGTCAGCGACAAGGCCGACGGCCTCGGCGAGGGCAAGAAGCCGGCGAGCGAGGACGAGTTCCACAAGGGCCTGTCGGAGGCCAAGAGCGAGCTCGAGTCGCTCCTCAAGGAGCTCGCCGGCGTCGAAAAGGTGCCCGTCGCGGGCGAGACGGCCGAGGCACCCGTCGCCGCTCCTGCGCCGGCCGCCGCCGCGGCGCCCGAGCAGGCCGTCGCCATCCCTGGGCCGGTCGCCGAGTCGCTCCCGGACGCGTCGGCCGCTGCGCCCGTTACGCCGACCGCGACGCCCGCGCCCGCCGGCGCCGGTACCTCTCCCTCTCTTTCCCCCTCGTCCTCGTCCTCGTCTACCGACGCACCCGCACCCCCGCCCCGCATCGTCGCCACGGCCCCGACGCCCAAGATCGACGAGCTCCCGCTCGCCATTCCCGCCCAGGCCGTCCTCGACGACAAGGCGATCAAGCACCTCCTCGACCCGGCCGCGGCGCAGGTCGCTGCTGCGGGTGCCACGACGGCCGAGGCCAACACCAAGAAGGAGGGCGAGGCGGTCGGCGGAGGGGCGCGCAAGGACGAGTTCCCCGAGCCGAAGAAGGAGGACGCCAAGCGGTGGGTTTAGACGGCTCGACTGCAAAACAGAGACGTGGCAGTGCATCTCGGCCTCGCTCTATCTCGAGGCTGTGCGAGAGGGGAACCATGACATGTCTTTGCGAATACTCGTCGTCTACTCGAGGGTACAACTAAGCCGGTTCTCGCCGCCGCACACCCTGCTCGCGCTCTGCCTCCTGCTCCTCCTCGACCTGCTCGATCTCGCCCGTGTCCTTGACCTCGTGCGCGAGCTCGCCGTCCTTCTCTCGCTCGCACTCCCTCCTGCGCGCGACCGGGTCGAGCTGCGAGAACGGCCGGCCCTCGAGCGGGCTCACCGCGACGCTCGGCCTCCTCTCTCGGCCGCGCGACGCCGCCGTGCCGCCCGGGACGCCCCACTGGACCGTCGTGTACTCGCCGAGGCGCGACGAGGCCGACTGGCCGCCGCCGTGCGGGTCCGCGACGTCCGTCTCGACCTTGATGCGCACGGCGCCTGCGAGCGTCGGGCTCGACTCGGCGGACGAGGACGGCTCATCGGCCTCGTGAAAGAGCGCGCGCAGTCGCGAGATGAACGAGGGGCGGGGCGGCTCGGTCGAGTGCTGGGAGGGGTCGAGAGAGGGTCGGTGCGTCGTGAACACGGAGAGGCGGCGGACGTCGAAAGCTGAGAGGAGGCGAGGCGGGAGAGCGACCGTAGCGATAGAGCGGAGGTCGATGGCGTGAAGGAGGAGGGGACAAAGAGCGAGAGGTCAGTTTGTCGGCCCGAATTGACGAGAGAAAGGAGGAGAGCGAGACGCACAGCGCCCGAACGACCCACTGCCGCTCCCTCGCCTCAAGGCCTCGCCGATGCCGTCAAACGACACGATGTGCCTCGTCACGGCATACACCGTACAGTTGGCGGCGCCCGACAGGGTAAAGATGGCGCCGCCGGCGAGCGCGTACTCGATCGGCCACGTGTGACCGGCCATGGCGGCGCACCGGTAGACCGAGATGGGCAGGATGGTCGCGACGTACACGGCAGGGTAGATGAGCATGATCTTGGCGACGTTGGTCGTGCCGCCGCTAAAGGTCGCGTCGCCGCCGAGCTGCCGCCGCCGCCACCAGATGCGGAGCGCGATCGCCGAGTACAGGATGAAGGTCGACAGGGCGACGATGAAGACGAACAGGTAGTGGAGCGTGAGACGCTCGGTCTGGTTCCCGGCGCCGATCCAGCACCACCCGCCGGCGGGCCCGTAGAACGGGAGGCGACCCGGGCGAGGAGGAAAGGCGGCGGGCCCGGCGCCTGCGAGGACGCCCGAGCCGATCCACGCGAACGCGATGGCCGACAGGAGGACCGCGAACGATGCCGTGCGCTTGAGGACGATGATGGCGAACAGGTTGGCGGCGATGATGAGGGCCGAGAAGGCGCTGCCGATGTCGCCGACCTGGATAAGGACGGCCTGCGCCGTGCACAGGGCGGTCGGGTGTGCGGGTGCTGGTACGGCGCCGAGTGCGAGCCACTGTAGGACACGGGAGAGAGGTCAGCTCGCGCCGAGGAATCTGATGCCGGCTCGACTCGACGACGCGCAGGGACGGACGGACATGGTACGTGAGGCTGAAGCCGAGGGCTTGAAGTAGGTCTGCGCACAGCTTGTCGTCAGCTTCACGGTCGAATGGAAGGGCACGGCGGGAGAGGGGAGAAGGAGAGCGAGGGACGCACCGCCCGTCAACAAGCTCGCGAACGCGACGCCGTGCGACGACGCCAAGAACCGCATGGCCCTCGACTCGCGCTCGACGCGCCCGTGCCCGTGCCCATGCCCGTGCGCGCTCCTCGCCGCACGCCGATGTCGCCACAGGAGCGTCGCGACGTACGTGAGGAGCGCCGAGATGAACACGAGCGAGACGGTCGCCGCCGAGGCGACTGCGATCATTCCCGAGCGCTTGACGCCGAGCGGGACCCAGTACGGGTCGCCAGCGGCGGCGTCTGGCATTCGTGCGGGCGGGCGACGCTCGCGCGCGGCGGGGAGCGCGACTCGGAGGGCGGGAGCGAGAGGTGCGCGAGAGCGGCGAGAGGACCTGCGCTCGAGAGCGCAGGGTGGGCGCAGAGCAGTCGGTCGCGCGCAAGCCGTGTGCACGTTGTGTGAAGCAGGGCAAAGCGAGGGTGGACAAGCGCGGCGAGACGAGGTGGGGAACCTCGAACCGGAGAAGAGATGAATCGACACGATTGGCCAGGCACCTCGAGAGGAACCAGGGCATGCTCCCAGCGCTAACGCAGCTCGCCGTCCCACGATGAAGCCAGCGAACGAGCCTCGGGCAAAGCGGACTCTTGGAGGAACCGCCGCACCCTCACTCGAGCGGACCGCTCTCGAGAGCCCCGCCACGTCACTCAAAGCGATCCTTGTCGTTGCACGTCCTCGCGCTCACCCACCACCACGCCCCTGCCCCTGCCCGTGCCCAGCCGCCGCCACCCTCGCGCCCGTGAGCGCCCCAGCCGCCCGGTCCGCCTCGTACTGCCGCACGAGGTCCGCGCGCGCGCGGTCGGCCGCCTCGAGCTCCTCAAGGCGTGCGGGCGGGTCGAGGAGTTTGACGCTGCGAGCGTGAGCGTGGGTGTGGGTGCGAGGGGAGAGGCGAGATTGAGAGCGGGACGCGAGCGGGTCAGGGAGTGTGCGGCGAGACAGAGAGAGGGAGACAGAGAGGGGGAGAGGAAGGAGGCGGACGCACAGGATGCGCGGCGTCTCGAGCCAGTTGCGCCCGCCCGACGCCCTCTCCCTCTTCCAGATCTCGGTCCAGAAGTACCTGCGAGCGTACGAATCCGTCAGCTCTCGAGAAGAGGCACCACGACAAGCAGCCGCTCGCCGGCGACGAGCCGACGAGGAGCTCGCACGGCCGCAGCCTCGACAGAGAGAGAGAGACAGAGGGCGCACCACCAATGGCCCGCCGCGATCCCGAGCAAGTCGCTGACGATGACGCCCAGTCCCCATCCGCGCCCCGAGCCCGGTCCGCCGCCGCCCGAGAGGGCCCAGGCAAAGAGGCACAGGGCGTAGGGGAGGTACGGCGCCGTGATGGTGATGACGCCGAAGAGCGAGAGACGCACGAGCGGGTTGAGGCGCGACCAGAGGTAGACGAGCTGCGGGAGGGGGAGGGGGGTGAGGGCGAGAGGGGGACAAGGGAGGGAGGAGGGAAGGGCGTGGACAGGACCAGTCAGTTCTCGTCGATGTGTCGATTCGAGGGAGGAAAGCGAAGACGCACGGTGAAGGAGAGGGGCGAGGAGAGGAACGGCGAGGTGGACAGCGGGCTGAGGATCTGCGCGCGAGAGAGACGGAACGGGTCAGCCGGCGTGACCGGGGTAAAGACGAAGGAGTAAGGCGGGACGGACGAGGAGGAGCGTGCAGCTGACGACGAGGAGCCACACGTAGTCGGCCCTGCGGCCGTGAAAGGCCGACTCTTCGAGCATCTTGGAGTAGCGCATGCTGCGGGAGGAGGGGTTAGTCGCCGCGCGCCCGCCCGAACCCCTCGACAGGAGGGAAATGCGGGACGCACAAGAAGAAGAGGTGGAAGAAGAAGTCGAGGCCGAGCGGGCCCCAGTAGAGGAAGCAGGTGACGAAGCGCCACAGCTGGCCGTGGTCGACGGCGGTGCGCCAGGTGAAGTAGAGCTGGAGCGGCGTCACGAAGCCGCATTGCTGTTCGGGCATGGGTGCAGAGGTCAGCTTTCGCTTGGTAGGCGGACAAAGAGGCACGCGTGGACTCACGACGGCGACGCTGGTCCCCACTGCCCCGCTGTCGGCACCGGAAGAGGAGGAGGAGATCAAGTCAGCTCGGGGTCGCTGGGCGAGTGGCAGGCGAGAGTGGACGGACACGAGGTAGGCCTTTGTGACTGGCGGGATGTCAAGCCCGTCCATGGCCGACGACGAGCGCAGCCTAGTGCGGAGAGGTTCGAGGAGGCGGTGACGAGGAGGACAGGGGCGACGGCCGGCTCTGGTGGCTCGACGGGGTGTCCGAGGGCGGCAGGTGCAGTCGACTGGGGCACTGAGCTGCTCAGACTCTAGCCAGAGCGGTGTAGAGCGGTCGAACAGAGGGTGATGCGGCTTCTTTCATCTCCTCCTCGTCCTCGCTCTCTCTGCTCGTCACACCTCGGCTCGCCCACCGAGGCTTGAGCCTGCGCACACCATCCAGCTCAGCAGAGTGTGCTGCACCCACCACATGTCGCCGCCAGACCACCCTCGCTCCTCGTCGTCGTCTCGCCCCCGCTCGCCCGTGTCGTCGCTCAAGCGGCCCCTGTCGTCGCCCGCACCCACGCCCTCAGCCATAAAGCGCGCAAACTCCGAGGACCTTATGAGCTCCGACCACGAGGGCTCCATCGGCGCTTCCCGCCTCCACATCGCCTCGACCCCGACCCCGACCGGCGACGACCTCGACCTCGACCACGACGCCGACTCGACCCTGACGGCACCGCCGCCTCGTCCGCCCGCCGACAGCGAGCTCCCGCCCGCGTACGGCGACGCGGCCCCGAGCGACGACGACGACGGCGCCGACGCCGACGCGCAGGGTGAGGACGACGAGCACCTCCCGCCGTCCTGGCACCAGGCCGCCGCCACGTCGCGCTCGAGCTACAACGGCATCGACCCGCGCAACCAGCTTCAGATGGTCGAGGGCGTCAAGGACTCGGCCCTCGAGGCCGGCGACCAGTGGTACCTCGTGTCGCGCGCGTGGTACCGCCGCTGGCAGACGGCGTGCTCGGGCGTCGCCGCGACCAAGGACGACGACGACACGCTCACGCCCGACCAGGTCGGGCCCATCGACAACTCGGACCTCGTCGCCGACGACGGCGTCAGCCTGCGCAAGCCGCTCCTCATCGGCGTCGACGTCGAGGTCCTCCCCGTCCCGGCGTGGCGCTACCTCGAGGAGTGGTACGGGTGCGCCGGCCCCGAGTTTGAGCGCGAGGTCGTCGCGTCGGCCGGTCCCGGGTCCGAGATGATCGAGATGTACCCGCCCGCCTTCACCTTTTTCCTCCTCCTCCCCTCGTCGTCATCCGACTCGGGCGCCGTCTCGGTCCCGACCCTCGAGCACCCGCCCTCGGTCCAACTCGTGTCGTCCTCGCCCTTCTCGGCCCTCCTCGCCGCCGCCCTCGAGGCCTTCTCGCTCGATCCTTCGCGCCCCTGTCGCCTGTGGCGCCTCCCGCCCGCGTCCGACTCGACCTCGACCTCGTCCGGCCCGGCCTTCATCTTTGCCGACAAGCTCGCCGAGTCGGGCGTAGAGCTCCTCGCGCCCGAGGACACGGGCCTCGACGCGACCCTGACGGACGCCATGCTCGCCGACGACGAGACGCGCCTCGCGCTCGAGGTCCAGAGCGAGCAGCGCGAGTGGGCCGTCGACGCCGAGGCTGTTCTCGCGCACCTGCGCCAGGCCGAGGACGACGACGCGCGAGCGCCCGAGGCGCCCGAGGGTGGCAGCAGCCAGCTCGTCCTCCCCGGTGCGGCGGCGGCAGCGGCGGCGGCCTCATCGGGTGCGGCGGCGTCGAACGGCTCGGCCGAGAAGAAAGGTGGCGGCATGTTTGCGCACGGGTGGTCGAGCAGCCTGCACAAGGGCAAGACGCCCAGCGCGCCGCCTGCGCCGCCCGGCCCGCCTGCGCCCGCATCGGCGTCGAAGCACCACGGCGGCGGCATCATGAACGCGCTGCACGGCGCGCTCACGCGGAGCAAGACGGCGCCGGCCAAGGGCCAGCGAGGGCTCGTCGGGCTGCAGAACCTCGGCAAGTGAGTCGCGCCTGCTTCCGCACCATCTCGAGCGTCGTTCTCGGGACGGCACTGACGCTCGACTCGCACCCCTCGCAGCACGTGCTTCATGAACTCGGCGATCCAGTGCATGAGCAACACCAAGGAGCTGCAGGAGTACTTCCTCTGTGCGTCCCGGGCGCCCTCTCTCTCTTTTCCTCTCGCTCCGCCATGTCCCTCGCCCGCACTCGCGACTGACCCGCCGTCTCTCCCACGCACAGCCGGCGTCTACCACAACGAGCTCAACCGCGACAACCCGCTCGGCATGCGCGGCCAGGTCGCCGAGGCGTTCGGCCAGTTGATCGAGCGCCTGTGGCACGGCTCGGGCTCGTCGGTTGCGCCGCGCGAGTTCAAGCAGGCGCTCGCGCGGTTCGCGCCCCAGTTCAGCGGCTACGGCCAGCAGGACTCGCAGGAGCTGCTCGCGTTCCTGCTCGACGGCACGCACGAGGACCTGAACCGGATCAAGGTCAAGCCCGCGACCGAGGCGCCCGACTGGGAGGGCGGCGGCGACAAGGAGCTCGTCGAGCTCGCCAAGACGTGCTGGGAGCAGTACCGCAGCAGGAACGACTCGGTCATCGTCGACCTGTTCCAGGGCCAGTACCGCTCGACCGTCGTCTGCCCCGACTGCGACAAGGTGCGCCGCACTCTCTCTCTCTTCTCTATCTCTCCCTCTCTCGCGAGCGCACACGCCCTGACACGCCCCGACCCACACGCTGCAGGTCTCGATCAAGTTTGACCCGTTCATGTACGTGACGACCAACTTGCCCGTCACCAAGAAGTGGACCGGCCGCGTCTTTGTCATCCCGCTCGACCCGGCACGCGGCGTCCTGTGCGTCGACGTCGAGGTCCCCAAGTCGGGCACGATCAAGACGCTCAAGCAGGTCATCGGCCAGGTCATCGACGTCGACCCCAAGTGCCTCGTCCTGTCCGAGGAGTGGAAGTGCAAGTTCTACAAGGACTGGACCGACGACGAGAACATCATCGACGTCAACACGAACAACGACCGCATCATCGTGTACGAGGTCGCCGCGCCGTACGCCCAGCCCCGCAACCGCTTGCACCGCGCCGCGCCGCCCGCCTACGACCCGGCCGCACCCGTCTTCCTCCCGCTCCTCAACGTGAAGGACGGCTCCGCGTCGTCCACGTCCAAGTACGGCATCCGCTCGTCGGGCGACGACTTTGGCTCGCCGTTCATCCTGTCGCTCTCGGCCGACGAGGCGACGAGCAGCGCCGCCATCCACCGCGCCGTCGCGCGCCAGTACAGCCGCGTCACCAAGCGTGGCGACGAGCTTGTGCAGCGCGTCGAGGAGTACCTCGCCGAGCTCGAGGCGGGCGAGTCGGCCGGCGAGCAGGAGCAGGCGGGCGCCATGGACGTCGAAAGTTCGTTTGCGCCCGCCGCCGGTCCCGCCGACACGTCGGCCTCGACGTCGACGAGCCTGGCGCCGTCGTCGATCGAGCAACCGCACGACGACCTGTCGAGCTCGTCCTCGTCGCTGTTCGCGCCGGGCACGTCCTCGACCTCGTACCGCCCGACCACCCCGGCGACCGACATGTCCGACTCGTTCGTCAGCGCGCCAACCTCTGTTCCCTCGCCCTCCCCGTCGCCGTCGACTGCACCCGGGCCGACGCCGACCCGCCGCCGCGCGCCGCCGTTCCGCATCGAGGTGACGATGCGCATGGCGCACGAGGGCCGCATCCCGTTCGAGTCACCCCTCGGGCCGACCGAGCCGCTCGACGTGCGTGTCGCGAAGGTCGAGGCGGCGGCACGGCGCTCGCTCGCGCAGCAGCAGCAGCAGCAGCAGCAACCCGAGGAGGACATCGACATGTTCTCGCCGACGGCGAGTCGCGCCGAGCCGGCCGACGACGACGCCGACGCGTCCACGTCGACCTCGCCCGCCGCTCCTGCGCCGGCCGCAGCCGCAGCACCGGCGCACCAGGTCGAGGCGCCCGCAGCTGTCGCCGAGGCGCGCCCGCTCGTCGGCATGGGCCACGTCCTCGTCGCGCACTGGGACGAGGACGCGTACGAGCGCTTCTTCGGCGGCGACGCGAGCCAGTGGAGCGCGACGCAAGAGGTCGTCCAGCCGGAGCTCGCCGAGCGTCGGGCGCAGGGCCGCGGCGGTGCCAAGAAGGTCATCACGCTCGCCGACTGCCTCGGCGAGTTCACCAAGGAGGAGCGCCTCGGCGAGGACGACATGTGGTACTGCGGCGCCTGCAAGGAGCACAAGCAGGCGACCAAGAAGGTCGAGCTGTGGAAGGTCCCCGACGTGCTCGTCTTTGCCCTCAAGCGCTTTTCGTCGAGCCGGTACTCGCGCGACAAGATCGACGACCTCGTCGACTTCCCGATCGACGGCCTCGACTTGACCGAGTGGGTCGAGGGCGACAAGGTCGAGCACCGCCTCGCCGACGAGATGGGCGACGCCGCGCCGTCCGTCACGGCGCCCGACTCGCTCACGTACGACCTGTACGCCGTCTCGAACCACTTTGGCGGCCTCGGCGGCGGGCACTACACGGCGTTCGCCAAGAACCACGAGAACGGCCGCTGGTACGACTTTGACGACGTGCGTCCCCAGCTCTCTCTTCTCTCTCTCTCTCTCTTTCTCGCGTGCGAGCTCTTCGCAGGTCCTGACTTTCTCCTCCACTCCCTCTCTATGTCGCAGTCACGCGTGTCCGAGATCCAGCCCGACCGCATCAAGTCGTCGGCGGCGTACCTCCTCTTCTACCGCCGCCGCACGGCGCGCCCGATCGGCGGCGCCAAGTCGCGCGAGCTCGTCGAGTCGGCCGTCGCGTCGCAGCAGGCCTCGGCGGCCGCGAGCGACGCCGGCACGGACGACCTCCTCCCCGTCGGGCCCTCGCCGCTCAGCAGCAGCATGCTCGGCGGCGGCGGCGGCAGCGGCGAGCAGCACGTGCCCGGAGCGTTCCCGAGCCCGCCGGGGAGCGCCGCCGAGCCGGGCAGCCCCAAGGACCTCGCCGACTTTGACGACGTCGACGTCGACGGCGACTCGTGGGCCGACAGGCGGGGCGACTTTGGCGATGCCGACCCGGGCGTGCCCGCGCTCGCCATCGACGACGCCGAGGAGGCCATGGGCCCGCCGCCGGCGAGCCCGGTCGTGCAGGACATCCGGCTCGAGCACTCGATCGAGGACCTCGAATCGATCGAGTGAGGGAGAGAGGGAGGCGAGGGATGTAGTCGTGGTCGTCGTCGTCGTCGTCGTCGTCGTCGTCGTCGTCGGGTTTTGCCAGTCACCGTTTTCGCTTCCCTCGTTCTCGTCGCGTCCTCCCCTTTTGTCCGCATCTCTCTGTGACCTCTCGCAACGATACACCGAGCCCACAGCGTTCACTACATCGTGCTGCATTGCGTTTTCGGGCCTCGGCGGCGTCTAGAGAGAGAGAGTGAGAGAGAGAGGGAAAGAGGGAAGCTCAGGCCGAGAAGTCGAGCGTGCGACCCTCACGCGAGCTCTGGGTCGCGACCTCGATGACCTTGATGACGAGTGCGGCCTGCTCGGGCTTGACGATGAGCTGCGACGGGTCGTTGGCGAGGAGGGCGTCGCCGACGTTGCTGAACCACGAGGCGTACGAGCCAGGGACCGACGTGATCCTGCGGGAGGGGCACACTGTCAGGTCCTGCTTCTCGTCCAGCACGCTTTGAGAGAGGACAGAGGACGCACGTTTCGGGCTCGACGCCGGCACGGTAGAGGATCCCGCTCTGCTCGCTCGGCTCGACGGCAAAGCCCTCCTGGCCGATCGCGTCCGGCCCACCAGCGACGAGCTGCGCCTCCTGGGCGTCGACGCCCGTCTTGACGAACGACGCCCCGGTACCCCGGACGCGGAACCGAGGCTGGGGCGACTCGAGCGAGAGGATCGAGCCGCGCGCGGTCGCGAGGAGCGGGAGGGCGCGGCCGGGCTTGGACGGCACAGGGTCGTAGTGGAGCTGGATGTGGAACGAGTCGGGGACGGTCGGGACGCCGATCTGGCGCGAGTTGCGCACGAGGCCCGTGATGCGCTGCGGCGCGCCGAACAGGTCGACGATCTGGTCGATCTGCGTGAGTTGGGGGAGGGAGCGAGTCAGCGCTCGTCGACGAGGGGGAGGGGGGAGAGGAAGGGAGGACGCACGACGTGAGAGCCGAGGTCGTACGCCGCGCCGGCTCCAGGAATGTCGGCCTCCTTCCACTGCTTGGCGTTGAGCACGTTCTTGTACCTGTCGAACGAGCTCTCGAACTCGCTCAACTCGCCAAACTCGCCCTTGTCGACGAGCTGCTTGAGCGTGAGAAAGTCGGCGTCCCACCGACGGTTCTGGTACACGGCGAGGACGCGGCCCTTGGCCCGTGCGAGGTCGGCGAGCTCGAACGCCTCGTGCGAGGTCGGCGTGACGGGCTTCTCGACGACGACGTGCTTGCCCGCCTCGAGGGCCTGCTTGCAGTACGCAAAGTGCTCGGCGTTGGGCGCGAGGACCCACACGGCGTCAATGTCCTGCTCGAGGGCCTCGGCGAGCGTGTTCACCACCGTGAGGCCGAAGTGCGGGTACTTGTCGCGCGCCTTGCTCTTGTCCGGGGTCGCCGAGCGCTCGACGACGACCTTGAGCTCAAACTTGTCCGGGAGCGAGAGGACTGCGTGCGACGAGGAGGGGTCAATTGGCCGGTCGAGGCGGGGTCCGAGGTGGAGGAGGGAGAAGTGGGCGGGCGCACTGAAAGGGATGTGGAAGACGGTGGCACTCATGCCGAAGCCGACGACTGCGATCTTGGTCGGAGCCATCTGGTGCTCGAGGACGGGGTGTGTCGGGTGTGAAGTCGAGAGGAACGGCGGGAGCTGATGAGGAAGAGGGGAGAGGCGAGTCGGGGTCGTGGGTCGATTCGAGCTCGGTGACTGCTGTGCTCGAGTGTAGCTGAGGGTGTCGGAGTGGCGCAAGAGGCAGCACGAGGTGGTGGAGAGGAGAAGACGCGGCGGCCGGCCAGAGGTCAGCAGCACTCGTCGTCCCGGACCCACAGCACTCGATCGATCTCTCGCTCGACAGTGCTCAGCTCAGTCACCACGACCGAGCCCGACGCAAGCCGGCCCCGGCCGCCGCAGCCCCCCTCTGCGTCCATGCCGCCCCCCTCCAACGAGCCCGTCGTCCTCGGCAGCAGCAACGTCCCCTACTCGCCCTTGAGCCCGAGCCCGAGTGCGCTCGTCCGCTCGGCAGATGGCCAGCTCGCAGCAGTCGCACGAGGCGAGATCCACCTCTTTGTGCGCTCCCTCCTCCTCGTCCTCCTCCTTCCTACAACCCCCACCTCCGGCCCGCTCACCTCCCCCTTGTCGCCCAACACAGACACCCGCACTCGGCTACACCGACGCCGCCAAAGACGTGTCTGCGACTGGCGCCATCGCGTCGCACGCCGGCACGAGGGGCGGCGCCGACGCCCTCGCGAGCGGCGCAAAGGGCAAAGGTCGCGAGAACGACGTGCCGCTGTTGCGCTCGACCATCCCGATCGACCGCCGCAACATCGTCAAGTGGGCAGACTGGGCAGACGGTGCGTCTCGCTCTCTCTCTCTCTTGGACTCGGGCGCGCTGAGAGCTGACGGATGACCTTGCCGCGCAGAGTACGACCTGTCGCTCCCGTCGGGCGTCGAGCCGTCGTGGCGCAGCGCCACCTGGTCTCCATCCGGCATGTCGTCCCTCGGCGGGTGCGTCCCAGCTCGCCTTCCCCTTTCCTCGCGCCCTCGCCTGACCTCGACCGCCGGCGCCCGCAGCTGCATCCTCGCGACCCTGACGAGCAACGCCGAGGTCCTCCTGTTCGAGCCGCCCAAGAACGGCGCCAAGGGCGAGTGGTTCGAGGTGCACCGACTCGTCCCCGACCTCTTGCCGCAGGACCGTACTGACAAGCGCACGCGCCGCAGACGGCCGACTTGACGGCGCTCCTCATCCGGGACCTCGTCACCGACCGTGCGCCCTTGCCATCACGCCTTTACGCCTACCTCCTTGAGATGCAGGTACTGACGCACGCTCGTCCTCCGCAGATGGCGGCAAGCCCTCGGCCACGCGCAAGATCCGCCGCGAGCTCGTCGCCGAGCTCCTCCAGTGCCAGTCTTCCGGTGCGCTCTCCCGCTGTGTCCCTCCTTCTCCCACCGCACGCCCTGACTCTGCGTGCTGCAGCTCTCGCCTGGTCGTCCGCCGTGCCGGGCACCGCACTCGACCTGTCGCTCCTCGCGCTCGGGCACCGGTCGGGCGAGGTCACGCTCTGGCGGTGCGTCGTCGCCCTCGCGCTCCTTCTCCGTCCTCTTCGATGTACTGAGTGACTCGTTCACACACGCAGGCTCGGCAATGAGCGCAAGCCGGTTCAAGTCGCGCGCTTCAAGCCGCAGGACGAGACGAACATCGTCGGCGTCTTGCGCTGGTCCGAGTGGACGACCTCGACTTCTGGTGCGCCGCCACCTTTCTCCCCCTCAGTCCGACCTCGACTGACTCGCGCCCCTCCTCGCAGATGACGGCACCGCGACCGCGACCGCGCACCTCGCGCTCGCCGACGCCGACGGCCGCGTCTTTGCCGTCCCGGTCTCGCAGGCGCTCGTCCTCGCCGAACGCGGCGAGGGCTCGTGTGATGTCGGGAGCGCGGTGCGTGTCGATGGGGCCGACGGGCGGGCGGCGACGCAGCTCGAGTGGGTGCCGGTGGGGGACAAGGTGCGCTCTCGCCCTCCCTCTCTCTCCCTCTCTCTCTCTCTCTCTCTCCAGCGCCGTGACCCTGACGAGCCTCCTCGCGCCCAGGTCCAGCTCGCGTACTCGAAGCTTGGGACGATGCACCTCGCGCAGATCGCCGACGCGCAGGTCGTGCGCGAGGGCGAGGTCGAGCTCGAGACGGTCGGCGGCGACGAGTGGAGCGGCGCGACGAGCTGGGCTCCTTGCAGCGGTGCGTCTGTTTCTTCTCCTCTCTCATCGTCGACACCGACTGACGTTGTGCGTCTCCTCAGGCATACAACACCTTCCCTCCCGCGACGCGCTCCTCGTCTCGCTCTCGTCCGGCTCGTTCCACCTCTTCCACCTCGCCTCCTCCTCCTCATCGTCTTCCACCGCCCCTCCTCTCCTCCTCGACCACGACCTGTCCGCCTCGTACACGTCGGCGGCCCACACCTGCTTCGTCCAGTCGCTCACGGCCGCGCGCCAGCACAAGGACCGCTTCAAGGCCGAGGGCGACGGCCCCGTCACGCGCCGCGAGGGCGCAAAGGTGCTCGGGTGCGTCGCGCTCGACAGCGGGAGGGACGGCATGGACGTCGCGTGGATCTTCGAGTGCGTCCCCTTCCCCTCTCCCTTCCCCTTTTCTCCCATCGTCCGAGAGGTGAGGTGAGGCGACGACTGACGAGGCGACGTCGCGCGCAGGTCGGCTCGCCCAGATGTCTTCTCGTACCGCACGCCGGCCGACACGCGCACGCACCTCATGCTCGCCAACCTGTCGGGGCCCGAGAGCGCCGAGAGCGTCCTGAGCGCCGTCGACCGGGCTCTCGCAGGGCCGATCAACAGTGCGTCCTCGCCGCTCTCTCGTTCCTCTTCGCCTCTATACCTCGCGTTCTGATGCTCTCTCCCTTGCAGTCCGCACCCACGCACCACTCGCGACCCTTGGCCCGCTCCTTCATGCCCTCTCGGCGCACGTCGCCGACCCAGCGTTCGTCGACCAGCTCCTCGAGCGGCTGCAGCCTTTGCCGGTCCCGCCGGCGGCGCCCGTCCCGAGCGACGCGACGCTCGAGGAGCGCCTCGAGGCGATGGTACATGCGGATGCGGGTGTCGGGCGCGTCAGGGTGCAGGAGGCGCTCGCGAGGGGGATCCTCGTGCGTCCTCGTCTTTACCTCTCGCCCTCTTCTTGGTCTTTCTGGGCACACGCCTGACGCGTGCCTCTGCAGGGTCGTCGCTCGTCCTTGTCGCCCGAGAGCGAGCACGCCCTCGTCCTCGTGCAGCTTGGGCTCGCGAGGCAGCTCATCAAGGAGACGCTCGGCCGCTTGACGGCCGCGCTCGGCGCCATGCCTCTTTCTGGTGCGTCCGATTTTCCTCGCCTCGTCTCGTATGTCCCACTCACTGAGACGCCGCGTCCGCAGACCTCGAGCGCCCGTACCACGCGCGCCTCCTCCTCGCGTCGGCGTCGCTCGTCCCGCCGTCGACGACCGACCCCGAGGCGGCGCTCCTGCCCGCCGAGGCGCTCGCCCGGGCGTACGAGGCGCGCGACGTCGCGTGCCCGGCGTGCAAGGCGCACGTCCCGCTCGCCAACGTGCGGTACGCGTCGTGCGAGAACGGCCATCGATGGGGTGCGTCCTCGCTTCCTCTCTTCCTCCCTTTTCCCTCGCGCACCTCGCCTGACCCGTCTCTCTGTCCGCCGCAACAGAGCGCTGCTCGCTGTCGCTCGGCCTCATCGCGAGCGTCCAGGTGCGCACGTGCTCGTCGTGCGAGCGCAAGGCGCTCCTGCCTGCGGCGCTCGGCGCGCTCCCGCCGGACGGGCCCGTGCGCAGGATGCTCGAGAAGGCGACGGCGTGCGTCGTGTGCGGCGGGAGGTGGACTCGGTTGCGGTAGCTCGAGACGGCGTTGTCGGCGGATGCAACGAGCGAATCATCTGCCGCGCACGAACCTGCTCGTGGTGCAGCAGCTCGCTCGTCCCGCTCGTCTCGCTCTCTCGCTTGCTGCGCATGCTCGAGAGGAAGAGAGCGCGTCGCCGTCGTCGCACCTGGACCCCTTCAACGGCGCTCGAGCCGCTGATCGTCGGCCGCTGTTTTGGGAGGCGTTCTTCTCGTCGTTGGCGGTGGTGACGCGCGAGGACGGGCCCCTTCTCTCGGACGCACCAGCGTCGCCGAGCGGAGACAAGGCCGGCAGGCGACTTGACTTGGCTGCGATGAGAGAGTCGGCGAGCGAGCTGTACTTTGACGCGGCTCGACCGCAAGCCTCGAGCGCGGCGCACGCGCGACCAGGGAACATTGAAAGCGGCGGCGGCGAGAGCGGGCACAACTGCGTCCCTTCCCGAAGAAGAAGGTGCGGACAAGGTGATATCCGGGGTCGAGAAGGTGATCGTAACGAGGACGACCCACGAGACTGCTCGACGTTTCCTCTCCCACCACCACCTTGCGCCGCACAGACGACTACGGGAGCGCCACTCTAGTCCGCCAGAGCTCGCCCGGGGCGCCCCTGCGCTCGCACCTGTCTGCCCAGCCCTTCGCCGACGCCGCCCGCTCGCTCCTCGCAGTTCGACATCAAAGGTCCGTCTCTTCCTCCTTCTCCCCCCTCCCTCGCCCTCTGCAGCCCAGCTGACCGCGCGAGAACCAGCAGCAGTGCCCCTCTCGACCTTATCCTTATCCAGCCCAACCCTTGTCGACGTCGCCCTCGACCTCGCCGTCCTCGCCGTCCGCTTGCACGCGATGCGCCTCTTCACCCGTACCTCGTCCCCTCTACCGTGGCGGTCGCCGCACCCGCAAGGGTACGACTCGCTCGGCCCGACCTCGTTCGCAGCGTCGTTCCTGTCGGCCCTGCGCGGCCGCTCCCTCGCCCTCGCCGCCCTCGCCCTCTTCACCATGTGGGGCGTCTTGTCGCTCGTGTCGCCCATCTCCGTCTTCCCCCTCCTCTCGACCGACGACATCGACGCCCGCCCCTTCACCCGCAAGGGCCTCGCGCCGCGCCTGTACCGCGAGCTCGACCAGGTCGACCACCGCGCGGCCATCCTGCGCCCGACCGAGCGCCCGTTCGTCCGCGAGCGCTACCCCGAGGACCCGGTCCCGTGGAGCAGCGCGGCCCTCCTCCCGCCGCGCAGTGAGGGCAGCGAGCGGCGCAAGGCGGCGGCGCTGCGGCTCGCGGTCGGCACCGAGGACGCGTCGGGCGACGGCGTGTTCGTCCAGCCGGCGCAGCCCGTCGTCGACGAGGACCCGATCCCGGTGCACGCGATCGACGTCTTCCCGCGCAAGATCGCGCTCGAGCCGGGCCAGGGCGGCGTCGAGGAGTTCCTGCCCGCGGGCGACCGCCTCATGTACGGCATCGTGACGACGACGCAGCGGGCCAAGATGATGAGCCAGCTGTGGACGCGGTGGATGGTCCCGCGGTACCCGGCCCAGGAGGGCGCGCCGGCGTGCCTCGTCCTGCTGAGCGAGGAGGAGGACGAGCGCGACGTCGAGGACCTCAAGGGCGTCCTGCGCGCGAGGGGCCTCCCGTGCGGCGTCCGCAAGGGCAAGCACGAGCGGTACGAGGTTCGCGTCATGTCGATGATCCAGGAGATGAAGGACTATGCCGCCGACATCGGGTGCGTCCCCTCGTCGCTCCCTCCCTTTCCTCGAGTCGGCTCGATCCGCGCTCGTCATCCGAGACTCGTCCTTACTGACGCTCCTTGTCTCTCTGCAGACAACCGATCGACTGGTTCGTGTTCAACGACGAGTGCGTCCTACTCTTTCCCTCGCCCCTCCCCTCTCGACCGACGAGCCCGACGCCGCACGGACCATGGACTGACACTTTCTCCCACAGCGACACGTTCTGGGTCGACCCTCGTGCTACTCGTCGCATGCTCTCCAAGTACGACCCGCACGAGCAGTACTTTATCGGTGCCACGACTGAAGCCGAGGTGAGCCCGGTCGCTTTCTCCCCTTCTCACGCTCGCGGTCCCTGACGCTCGCCTCTGTCCCCCCTCTCGCAGAAGCAGCTCTCGCAGTTCGGCCGCATGGCGTTCGGCGGCGCCGGCATGCTCGTCTCGCGCGCCATGATGAGCGCCATGTACGCGTCCTGGGCCGAGTGCTTCGAGCGGTACCGGGACCTGTTTGGCGGCGACGAGATGCTCACTCGGTGTGCGGCGACGGCGTCGGGCAGGACCAAGCAGACGGTGACGACCGAGGAGAGGGGCCTGCACCGTGCGTCCTCGCGTTCCTGCTCTTCCGCCCTCGAGGCAGCACGAGCCCCGAATTGACTCGCCTCGCCCGCCGCATACAGAGTTCGACATCCCCGGCGACTCGACCGGCGTCATGCAGGGCGGCATCCCGATGCTCTCGCTCCACCAGTACGTCCTCACTCTCTCGCACGGTCTCGAAGCGAGAGGGAGCGGCACTCACCCATGCTCTCCTCTCGCGCAGCTTTATGGGCGGCGGCTGGGTCCACCTCTTTGCCTACGGCTCGCTCCTCGCCGACATGGCCCAGATCAGTCGAGTGCGCGCCGCGGCCGACTTTCTCGGCGGCGACAACATGTTTCAGCGCCACGTGTTTGGCGACGGCAAGTGGCTCGTCACGCTCGGGTACTCGGTCACGTACTTTGAGCAGGCGCTCAAGCCCGAGGACATGGCCTACATGGTGCGTCCCTCGTTCCCTTACTCGCGCTGCGAGGACCGAGACTGACTCGCCGAGCGCGCGCGCGCAGGAGCACACGTGGTACGAGGACTACCCGCTTTCGTTCGAGGACCGCCCGCACATCAGCGAGCGCCACGACGAGAAAGGTCGGCCGGCGAAACAGACGTTCTACATCGACTCGACGGTGCGTCCCTGCCTCCCTTCCCTCGACGGCCGAGGACGTCAGCTCACTCGAGCCCTGTTTCGCCCGCAGGACGTCGTCTCGCCCAACTCGGCCCTCTTCACCTACGTGCAGGCCGACTCGTGGGACGAGCACTGTACGTCCTCTCCCCCTCCTCGAGTCTGTCCGCCGTCCCTCACTGACTCGCCCTCGCCCACAGTGTCCGACAATCAGCGCGTGCGCATAAAGCTCTTCTGGGACGGCGGCGACTCGCAGGCGAGCGCCACCACCGCGCACCGGCAGGACCCGGGCGCGCTCAGCTAGATGGACCGAGGTAGAGGCGCGTCGCAGTAGACCGTTCTTTCCGCGCACGCACCCCCTTTCGTCTCTCGCCCGCGTTCTTCCCTCGTCACCTTTTTCTCCCTTCGTTCTCTCGGGTGTACGTCACCTCGCAATGCGCACCAGTTATCCGTCGAGCTCGACGTCGAGCGAAAGCCTGAAACTTCTGGATCGCTTTGCTCGCCGGCGACGCTCGCCGCTCAGGCCGCGTCCGTCCTCAGCCTCCTGTCCGTTCGCAATGTCCGCGAGCTCGCCTCCTGCCGGCTATCGGCTCCCTAGCTCAGTCTCGGCCGCTCGTCTGCTCTCTTCGCCCTCCGCCCTCGCCGACATGCCACCCGTCGTCGAGACAGTGACCAACTCGACGCCCGGGCACGTTCCGTCCCAGCTCCAGCTCGCGCTCGAGGGGCTTGAGACCGCCTGGGAGAACACCGGTGGGGAGCGGAAGGAACTCGGCAAGTGGCTCGGCCGCGTCAAGGCGTTCATGAGCAAGAAGGGGTCCAGCTGGTCGCCCGCCGACGTGCAGGCCATCGCCGACGAACTCGCCGAGTACAGCCTCGCAATCGAGCAGGGCGATGATCCCGAGGGCTTTGACTCTCGCAAGGGCCAGACGGTACGTCGAGCGGCGACATCCTCTTCTCCTCGCTCCAACAGCAGCAGACCTAACCTTTCTCTCGCACTGTGCCCACAGCTCGCTCAACTCGGCACGCCCCGTGCCGCCAGAGTCCTTCCCACTCTGAACCGTCTCTTCAATAAGAAAGAGGACCGGCGGCCCCGGAGCCGACAGGTGGGCAGAGCGCGCAGCAGGTCTGCTTCTCCGGTGCGTCCCTTCTCCTTTCTCTCTCGCCCCGGGCCTGACTAACCCGGTCCTGTTCCTCAGGACGCCGAGGAGCGGCGCGAGCGGCGTGAGCGTCGTCGTTCGCCCGCGACGCCCGCTCAAGACCAGCGCTCGCTTGCGAGGTCGCTGCTTGGCCACCCTCACTACAAGCTCGAGCGCATGCGCCCTTTCTAGCCCGTCTTACCGCGTTCTCCTCTTCCTTACTCTCGTCTCTGAAATCTAGCCTTCCTTCTCTCGCGTCCGACTGCGCTGTGAGCTCCGGGAAAGCGAGAGCTGCACGAGAGTCTCGACCTTCTCAAGTCGCCTCGTCTCGTCGCTCGTCGTTCGCGAAGGCCGCTCTGGCGCCGCCCTGTCGCACCTATGGGAGCCGAGTCTTTGTATCAAGCGACCTCGACGCTGCGCTGCTGTGCTGTCGGCAAGCGGCTCGGGCGGCTCGCGAGAGAGGGGAACGTGCGCTCGCTCGGGCCGCCTCCTCCAGTACGCACCCTTGCTGCCGCCTCCTGTCGTTCTCGGCTCGTCTGCTCGCCGCCGGTCCGGGCACGCTCGTACTCGTCAGCGGACGGAGGAGCTGCCTCGGAGCAGCCTTGTCGTTGACGACGCCTGGCCCATTCTCTCCCCACGCTCTTCCGGCTCCCTCTCGCCGTCTCGCCAAATGCCCGCCCCTGTCCCCGATCCTGTCCTGCTCGCTCTCGCCGAGGTCCGCAGCGCCTGGGGGCTCAGGCACGGGCTCCACAACACGGAGGCGCTTGCCAACTTTGAGAAATGGCGGCGTCAGATTATGGAGCTGCTCGGTCGTCAGCCGCTGCCCCTCCCGGACGGCGTCCCCGCCGCAGTACACCAGCTTCGCCAGTACGCCAACGAGCTCGAGTCGAGCCGAAAGGAGATCCCGCTCAAGGTGAGCTCTTGTCGTCGTTCGCGCTTTCAAAACCCTCGCGCTGACCTCGCGTCCCGCCCGCAGCCGCCCGCTCTCGGTACGAGCGCGTGGAGGCGCATCGTCCCCGAGCTCGACGCAGCGTACGAGAAGGATCTCGAGAGCGTGTCCCGCTACTGCGGTCGCTTCCCTCGACACCAGCAAAGACACCGACGCTGACACTCGAGCCCGTCGCAGACACGCAGGCCGAGCGTTCGCTCCCGCACCTTGCCAGGCATCCTGAGCAGTACAAGCTACAGCGCCTCAGGCCGTACTAGCTCCGCGACGTCAAGGTTGCGGCGCGCGAGGGCGGTCGGACCTCTTCTCGCCGTCCGAGGGGAGGCTGCGAAGGCCCGAGTATTGGCGAGGCGGCTGCACGACGTTGCGAGAGACTCGTGAGCTGCTGTTGCATCGAGAGCTAGAGACTGGCTACAGACGGACCTGCACGACGTTGCGAGAGACTCGTGAGGGAAAGAGAGAGGATCTCGAACGTGTGCGAGGGAGTAGACAGGACGAGCTCAGGCGAGGCCGAGGCGCAGCGAGTGACGAGGCGTCGAGGGGAACTAAACGAGGGGAAACGAGGGGAGAGACGAGAAGAGAGGGGGAAAGCGGGGCCCGTGCGCTCAGGCTGACCTCGTACCTCCAACACCGAGACGGGCAGGAGGGACGCGAGGAACGATGCAAGAGAGTGCAATGCAGATACGGAGGTTGCAGAGGTACGAGAGAGAACGACGAGGGGATAAGAGAACGAGAGAGAGAGAGGGAGAGAAAGAAAGGGAACCTCGACAGCCGCGCTCACGCCCGCACGGCGAGCATGCTCTGCGCCTTCCTCCACCCCTCCTCGAGCGTCTCCCTCACGCCTTCGACCTCCCTCCTCGCGCTCTCGGCCGCCCTCCCGTCGCCGAGCGTCCTGCGCCCCTCGCTACGCCCCTCGAACGCCTCGACGAACGCCTCGCTGCGCTCGACCGCGCCGAGCTCGTCCCTAAGCGAGCCCGCCTGCGCTTTGAGCGCGCGCAGCTTGCGGCCCGAGTCGGACGCGAGCGCCGACTGGACCTGGGTGAGGTCCGAGATGGAGGAGAGCGCCGCGAGGAGCGAGGTTGTGAGGGTGCGTAGGGCGGCGAGGTCGGCATGGGCGCGGGTGAGGGCGAGGGAGGATGCGGGAGGCGGTCGGGAACGTGGTGGAGGGGCAGGACGAGCCGGGTCGAGGGCGAGAGGGCCGAACGAGGACAATCCCTCGACGTCGCCGGACGGCACGGGCTCAGTCGGCGCTGGCGGCTCGTCGCCGTTCGTGTCGCCGCCGTCACCGCCCTCGTCCTCGTCGTCCGGCCACTCGAGCGGCTCAAGGTCGGCGAGCGCCGCTCGCCAGCCAGGCTCGGTGCGGCCGAGGACGCGCTCGACCTCGCCAAGCTCGCGCAGGTGCGACTCGCGCTGCTTGGCGAGCTCGTACAGGCGGCGGACGAGCGTCGATGCGTGCGACTCGACGACAGGCTGGCGGTCGGTGTAGTCGCGGGCGGGTGCGGGCGACGAGGTGGCGGAAGACCGGGGCGGCTCGATGCCGACCGGTGAGGGGCAGGGTGCGGCAAGGGCTGCGGCGTGCGGATCCACCTCGGTCGTGACGTGCTGCCGCAGGTGTGCGAGGAACGCGCTCGTCGTCTGCATCGACTCGTCGAGCGACGCCGCCGCCTCGCGCAGCGCGGCGTCGACCTCGTCCTGCTGCGCCGCCTCGTCCACCTCGGCGTCACCGTCGTCGGGCGTCGAGCCGCCCGGCGTGTAAGACGTGAGGGAAGACGACGACGGCCGCGGTCGAGGAAAGCGCGCAAGGGACGACGCGCTGCGCCTCGGCGAGCCGCCGAACGGGTCTGCGACGACGACGCCGCCTGCGCGCCCGAACCCAGCGCCGAGCGCGTCCTCGCCGTGCCGCATGTCGCCCTCCTCGCTGCTGCTGGACCCGCTGCCGCGAGACGACCCGCCCGTCGTGCGCTCGTCGTCCTCGTCCTCCTCGCCGCTGTCACTGCCGAGCCCCAGCTCGCGCATGAGGTCGCGCTGGCGCTGTGGCCGCGCCGCGCTCGCGAGCTCGTCCGCCAGGCTCAGCCCGCCGCCGCCGTCTGCTGCGCCAGCTGCGCCTGCCACCGCGAGCTTGGAGCCGCCTCGTCGTCGTGGTGGGGTTGAAGGAGGGCTGTGCCCGTCTGGCAGGTCGTCGAGGCTGGCGGGGAGGCCTGCACCGCCATAGTCGGTGTCGAGGTCGAGCTCTAGGTCGAGACCGAGGCCGTGCGCGTGCGTGTGCCGGTCGAGCGAGTCGAGGTCGTCGAGGTCGTCGTGGTCGAGGGTCGAGCCGAAGCCGGCGCCGAGGGACGAGGTCGACGCGTGCGGGGAGGGCAGGTCGAGGTCCAAGAAGGCTGGATCGAGCTCGTCGTCCATGCCCTGAGCCGTGCGAGAGTGAGAGAGCGAGTGAGGAGTGGGAGGAGGAGCCGGCTGAGTGATGAGGCGACAAAGGAAGCGCTCGCTCCCGAGCTTCCGAGCTCTCGTGCAAGCCTTCGAGAGCAGTCTACGCTGTCCAGAGCGCACGCCGCAGCTCCCGCAGAAGAGGCGGACGCGGCTTGCTCCTCCTCGCCCGACGACGGCCCGGGAGCAGCGCGAGAGGAGCGACAACGGCGCAAAGGGGCACGAAAAACGAAAGGCTATCATACATCTCGAGCGCTGCTACGAGCGAGGCCGGCGGTCTACGCCCGCACCCACCCCTCGACGCCCTCGGCCCACCTCGCGAGCTCCTCGCCGGCGCACTCGTCGAACCTCCTCCGCTCGGGCACCTTGCTGCGCTCGGCGCCGCCCTCGGCCTCGTCGACCTCGGCGCTCGAGGGCGGCACGGCGACGACGCCGAACCCGCGGCCGCCGACCGTTGTCGAGTAGGTCTCGAACCCGGACGAGGCGAGCGCCGAGCGGAGCGACGCGAGCGAGTCGTCCGAGAAGTCTGCGGGCGCGAAAGGGGCGGGACGTGGGTCAGTCGGTGGGTCCGTCGACGACGACGACAACGACAAGGTGGAAAGGAGAGAAGGAGAGAGAGGGACGCACCATCGGGAACGACCGTGACGGCGCACCCACCGCCACCGGCACCCGTCAACTTTGTCGCCAAGCCCCACGGCTCGCCCCTCGTCGTGCTCCTCACGGCCTCGAGCGCCGCGTGCCCGACGCCGAGCGACACGAGGTGCGCGTGGTTCTGGTCGACGAGCTGCGCGAGCTCGGCGAGCTGTGCGGCGCGGTCGACCGTCGACGAGGTGAGGAGCGAGTGGGCCGAGTCGCTGATGCGCTGGATTGAGTCGAACAGCGGGTTGATCGTGTCGGGCTCCTGTGCGCGACAACTCCACGTCGAGTCAGTGCTGCCCGCTCGAGAGGACGAGAGGAAGAGTAGGACAAGAACGGCTAAGAGCGCCCGACGCACCTCGAGTTTCCTCCTCGCGACGCCAGCAACGAGCGTCTTGGTGTCCCTCGCGACCTTTGTGTCGGTCAAGAGGAACCGGATCCCGCGCCCCTCCTGCGGCTCGATGACGTCGAGCCTGCCCTCGCGGCCCTTTACGGCGCGCCGGAACGCGACGGCGCCACCGAGCGTCGCGACCGTGTTGTCGATGCCGGACGGCGTGCCGTGGATCACCTTTTCGGCGAGGAACGCGTGCGCGTTGACGAGGTCGGCGTGCGCGCGGTCGATGCCGCCCTTGGCGTCGCCCGACGACGACGACGACGGGAGCGGGAGGACGCCGTGCGAGTACAGGAGCGCGCTCGACACGGCGACCGAGAACGCGGCGCTGCTTCCGAGCCCGGCCGAGATGGGGAGCCCCGACCGGACCGTGAAGCTCTGCGCCGCCGGACGAGGGGCGCCAGCGCCCTGCGCGGCCGCGAGGTGCATGTACAGGTACAGGAAGGCCTGGGCGGCCTGGACCGCCTTGAGCTGGTCCTGGTGGACAAACTGGTTGGCGAGGAGCGTGAGGAGCTCGGTCGACGGGGCCTGGTCGGGCTTGGGGCCCGTCTTGAGGCACGATGACGAGGTGAGGGCCGGGTCGACGAGGTGCCACGGGAGGGTCGACAGGTCCCACGACTGCGAGTAGCCGAGGTCGGGCAAGTCGAGCGAAATTTGGCCGTCCGAGCGCGCCTCGGCGAGGCAGTAGCATCGCAGGTCGATCGCGCCCGCAATGGCCGTCTGCGCGGCGAGCAGGGTCCGAGCGGGTCAGTCTCGCTCGTTCATGCAGGGCGGCTGACGCTCCAGGAGAGAGGGGGACGCACCACACCGTGCACGACAGCGTGCTCGCCAAACAGGATGACCTTGCCCGGCGCGCTCGTCATGACGCGCTCGAGCGCCGGCCTGCCCGCCTTGACCCTCTCCTGGCCGCCCACCGACTTGAGCTCGACCGCTTTCATGTCGCCGCCGTCGGGCCGGACGCGCTCGAGGGTCGCGCGCGCGCCCGCCTCGTCGACGACGCGCACGGCGCCAGCCTCGAGGAGGGCCGCCTCGAGGTCGTCGACGAGGTCCTGCGGGTCCTCGATGCCGACGCACAGGCGGATCAGGTCCTCGGGGAGGTTGCGCTTATAAAACTTAAAACCTTAGAGGCTATTTAAGTTGCTGATTTATATTAATTTTATTGTTCAAACATGAGAGCTTAGTACGTGAAACATGAGAGCTTAGTACGTTAGCCATGAGAGCTTAGTACGTTAGCCATGAGGGTTTAGTTCGTTAAACAAGTTGATGCACCCAAAGCTGACGCTGATGCCCCACAGGCGCGCCGAGCCGACGATGCGCTCGCTCATGGCGACGTCGCCCGTCTCAAAGCTGAGGACGGCGCCCGGCCCGCTCGCGATGCGGTCGTGGACGGCCTTGCCGCGGTGCGACGGCAACCCGGGGTAGTTGACCTTGAAGCCGAGCTGGTCGAGGTACTGGGCGATGAGGACCGAGTTGGCCTGCTGCTTGTCGATGCGGAGCGAGAGGGTCTTGACGCCGCGTAGGAGGAGGAACGCGTCGAACGGCGACAGGCCGTTGCCGATCGAGTTGATCGTAAACGCGATGCCCTTTGCCACGTCGTCGCGGTCGCACGTGATGACGCCCGCCATGAGGTCGTGGTGGCCCGAGAGGTACTTGGTGCCCGAGTCGTACACGACGTCGCACCCGAGCTCGAGCGGGCGACACAGGTACGGGCTCATCATCGTGTTGTCGACGACGACGAGGGCCTCGGGGCGGTGGGTGCGCACGAGGCGCGCGATCGTCTCGAGGTCGGCAATCTGCAGGAGCGGGTTGGTCGGCGACTCGAGGAGGACCATGGCGACCTTGCGGCTCGGGTCCTGCAGGAGCGGGACGAGCGTCGAGGGGTCGGTCGTGTCGACGTGGTGCGTCGTGATGCCGCCGTGCGTCTTGAGGTAGCCGATGAGGCGGTTCGAGCCGCCGTACAGGTCGTTGCCGGCAATGATCTCGTCGCCCGGCTTGAGCAGGCGAAAGATGACGTCGAGCGCGCCCATGCCCGACGTGACGGCAAACGCGTGGCGCGCGTTCGAGATCTTGGCGATGTGGTGCTCTGCGCGGGACGGCGGCGGGCGTGAGCGGGCGAGTCAAGGTGAGAGAGGTGGGGGAGGGGGGACGCACCGAGGTGGCTGCGGGTCGGGTTGCCGCTGCGGGTGTAGTCGTACGCGCCGCCCATGCCCTTGAAAGTGGCCGTCTGGTAGATGGGGACGCTCGACGAGCCGTACTGGTCCTTGTGCTGAGGGTCCGGGTTGTCGACCGTGGCGCACTGGGTCGCGAACCGATAAGGGCGGGCTGCGGTGCGAGTGGCAAGGAGTGTGAGTTGCATGTTCTCTCTTGGTGCAGAGAGGCGGGACGGACCGCGGAGGAGGCTCGAGGTGAGCGAGGCCGGGTCCGAGTGGGACGACGAGAGGGTGGGCGAGACGGTGCCCGCGGTCGAGGCCATGGTGGGGTGCGTTTGGTGGGGGGTGGAGCTCGACAGGCAGGTGGCTGGAGCTTGGGCGATGGAGAGTGAGAGCGGGGAGGAGCGAGAGTGAGGCTCTCGGCAAGCACGCCAGCTGCCAGCTCCGACGGTCCGGCCTGCACCGCCTCGCACTTACACTACCACAGGATACCCTGCAGACCACCTAGACCTCGACAACGACCCTCTCGAACTACCCTCCACCAGCCAGACCCCGCCCAACGACCTTCGCCACCTCGCTCTCCTCGTCCAATTCTCATCACCAGGTACACCCCGACCTCTCTCTGCCGCACCATCCGCAGCTCGAGCGCACTCACTGACAACCTCTCACCGGAACAGAACCGCCCACCATGGCCTCGAAGCACAACTCGGACCTCGTCATGTGCAGGAAGCGTCCGTCCCCTCCCCTCTCTCTCCTCCCTCGTCTCGCTCCCTCGAAACCCGCTCGCTGACCCTTGTGCCCCTCTCTACAGAGCCTGGCATTGGTGCGCCGTCC